CCAGCCCCCACGGCTCCTACTGGCCTTTTGATGAAGGCTTGAGACGGGGCTTGTTCCTCAACACCACCCAAGGGCAGCCACTCATCGGGCAGGTGAGCAGCTCCAGGGGGAAATCCCAGCCTGGTGGGTTGTGCAATACCAGGGCTGGGATTTCATCACAACACAGGGAAAGCCAAGTGGCCAAGGGACTTCTCTGGGATAACTGCCAGAGCTGGCTCAGCCCTTGTCCTCCTCATGTGTCACCTCCTGGTGTCTTCACCAGCCTGGGGACCAGCCCCTGCTCAGCAGAGGAGCCTGTGGAAGTCATATGAGCTTAACAGAGTCAGCAGTGCTGCCTAAGGCTGATCATCTGATTTCTCTCCCTTCCTGTTTCTGGGGTGAGGGGAGGTTGTTGTCATGAGCAGTGTGCCTCGAGACCTGCTCTGCAGCTGTTCCTCCCACTTTGACCCCTCTGGCTGTTTTCTCCCACCTGCTCTCTCTCGCTGTCTCCAAGGAGGGAGCTTTTGATGTAGCCTGAAAGCATGGGGGAAAATAAATTGGCTAAAATTCCTGGAATGAGGCAAAGCACAGAGAAATCATGGCTTTTCCCTGACATGTTCTTGATGAGGTGGTATCAGGCCTTGTGCAAGTGGGGACAGAGCAGCTCCATCAGCTGCCACTGCCCACGGAGTGTGGGGACTCCTCAGCACCTGGTTCCTCCTGGTACCATGGAGTAGAAGGGATGCTGTGTGTGTAGCACCCAGGACTCAAAGCATTGGCTGGGTTTGTCTTCTGTTTCATTGCCTGTTTCACCCTCAGTTGAAATCCCGGGCATGCTGTGGTACCCTGTTCCCCATGGTGGCTCCCCACAAATCAGCTGCTCGCTGAACCCATGGATTTGTGGTGTCCCCACAGGTCTGGCCTGGTTTCACTGCCTTTGCAGACTTCTCCAACCCAGATACACACCAGTGGTGGCTGGAGAACCTGCAGCACTTCTATGCCCACGTGCCCTTTGACGGCCTCTGGATTGTAAGTCCCTCCTTGCCCGTGGGTTGCTCCCTGCCTGCAGCTCAGCTCATGCCTGGCGTGTGTCCTGGCAGGACTGTCCCTCAAATGCAGCTTTTCCAGGTCTACCACTAATCCCAAAAACACACACCCGAAATTGCAGCACAATTTTCTTTGCTTAGGACATGAATGAGCCATCCAACTTCATGGATGGGTCTGAAGATGGCTGCCCCCCAGGAGAGCTGGACAACCCACCCTACACTCCGGGTAAGGAGGGAGATGAGATACAAGGCTGTGCTCATAGGTACTGTGTGCTTTGAGACAGCTGCCAACTGAGTGTGGTGACAGAAAACCATTTCTAAGAGACATTGTGTCTCTTTTACACCCTGAATGCCTCCATCCCTTCCTTCATGTGCCAGTATCCATGTCTAAGCCATGCACACTTGTTAGGGCCATGTCAGGGTGCAGCATGGGGCCATTTGCATGATCTTTTGGCACTGGGTTGGCAGTGCCAGCTGGCTGTGGGAGGGCTGACCCAGAGCCAGCAAGTGTGGGGAGTCCATATCCCCTGCACCCCAGCTGAGTCCACCTGGGCTCTCCCTCCTGGCAGCCGTGCTGGGCGATTCCCTCTCTGCTAAGACGGTGTGTGCCTCGGCAAAGCAGAAAGTCTCAGTGCACTACAACCTCCACAACCTCTATGGGCTGATGGAAGCCAAAGCCACAGCAAGGTACCTGAGCATCCCACTTCCTGACAGCCTGGGAATGGGTTGGGACTGAATCCTTCTCAGAGCTGAGTAGGAAGAGGATGGGGATTTGAGTGGGATCTGAAGCGGAGAAGCTCTGGCTGCTCACAGCCTCTGGGATGGGAATAATCCAGGAGAAAAGGGGAGCTGACACTGCTCTGGGAGGAATGGGGGAATGAGGCTGCTCCTGCTGCGAGCCTTTGCCACACTGCTTGGACTGACTCTCACCCCTCTGCCAGGGGGCTGGAATTTTCCCTCAGCTGTTGTGGGGTAAGGCAAACACATGGTGGGCTGCTCTTCCCTTCTGCCCCCAGCTCTCCTGTTGTTTTCCAGCGCCTTGATCAAGATCCGGGGGAAGCGGCCCTTCCTCATCTCCCGCTCCACCTTCCCCAGCCAGGGCCGGTACTCGGGGCACTGGCTGGGTGACAACCGCAGCCAGTGGAAGGACATGCATTACTCGATTCCAGGTGGGTGGCACAGAGCCCCTACCAGCACTCCTGGAGCTTTTGCTTGTTTGGAGATGTCTCTAACCCTGTTGACTGTCCCTGCCCCCAGGGCTGCTGAGCTTCAGCCTCTTTGGCATCCCGCTGGTCGGGGCAGACATCTGCGGCTTCTCCGGCAGCACCTCGGAGGAGCTGTGCACCCGCTGGATGCAGCTCGGGGCCTTCTACCCCTTCGCTCGCAACCACAACACCCAGAACGAGAAGGTCCAGGGCAGTGTGCCCCGTGGGAGGCATCCTGGGGCTGGGATGCAGCATATGGGGTGGGGATGCAGGATATGGAGTGTGGAATGGGGGATGCAGGAGGTGGGATGTGGAATGGGGGATGCAGGAATTGGGATATGGGGTGGGGGATGCAGGATATGGGATGTGGGATGCAGGAATTGGGGTTGGGGCTCGGGGTGGGACAGCTGCTGACTGCCTGTGTCTCCCCCAGGCCCAGGACCCGGCAGCGTTCAGCCCTGCAGCCAGGACAGCCATGAAGGACGTGCTGCTGACCCGCTATTCCCTCCTGCCCTTCCTCTACACCCTTTTCCACCGTGCCCACCTGCAAGGGGACACCGTGGCCCGGCCCTTGTTCTTTGAGTAAGGCCATCCCCACCGGGAGCTGGGGAGATGCTTGGGCTGAATCGGGGAGATCGAGCTGCGTCTCCATCCCGCCGCAGGTTCCCTTGGGATGTGGCCACGTGGGAGCTGGACAGGCAGTTCCTGTGGGGCCGGAGCCTGCTGGTAACCCCAGTGCTGGAGCCTGGCGTGGACTCAGTCACAGGTTATGTCCCCCAAGGCACGTGGTACGACTTCTACACGGTGAGGAGCATCACGGCATTTGGCCAGGGTGATCCCTGCTTGACCCTCCTGGGGCTGTGTGTGGGAAGCCCTGCCTGAGCCCAGGGAGCCCTAGTGAGGGAGAGTTGGGGATGGCTGTCCTGCAGACCTGTGCCTGAGCCCTGGTCCTTCACACCCATGTCTCCTGCCTCCTGCCCAGGGCTCCTCGGTGAATAGCAGTGGGGAGATGTTGAAGATGTCAGCCCCTCTGGAGCACCTCAACCTGCACATCCGGGAAGGTTCCATCCTGCCCACCCAGGTGAGTGCCTACCCACCTCCTCCCTGGGTGCTGTCCACAGCGTGTGTGTCCCCCAGCTCCTCAGCTCCTGGACCCAGTGGTCATGGCCCTACAGAACCCATTTCTTTGAACCCCAGAAACCAGGAACCACCACAGAGGCAACCCGAGGGAACCCCCTGCGTCTCATCGTGGCCTTGTCCTCGCATGCCACTGCCTGGGGTGACCTTTTCTGGGATGATGGCGAGAGCCTGGACACCTTTGAGACAGGCAACTACTCCTACGTGGTGTTCAATGTCACACAGGTGGGATGTGGTGGGGAGGGCAGGAGTGGGGGTCCCATGGTAGCTGGTCACCTTGAGCTCATGCTGTCCCTTCCTACAGAACATCTTCACCTCCACCGTCCTCCATGCCAGCACCGAGGCCACCAAGGTCACCGTTGGCACACTGAGCATCTTTGGGGTGCAGAAGCCGCCCAGCAAGGTCCTCCTGAATGGCCAGGAGAAGCCCTTTTCCTACCTGGACAACCAGGTATGGCCCCATTTCAGGGTGCCCTTTGCTGGGTGGGTGTCCCCATCCTGAGGGTCTCCACCTCTCCTCCTGAGGGTCACAGTGTGACCAAAGAGGGGATGAGGACTCTCTGTGGCTCTCCTGCTGTGCCAGGGTTTAGGGGAAAGCATTCTCCAATGTCTTGTCTCCCCCCACAGGTTCTCAGCGTGAGTGACCTTGGCGTGATCCTCAGCCAGGGCTTCTCCCTGCAGTGGCTGTGAGCAGGGGGCCGTGGGGTCCCCCTCAGCCCACCAGGACACCCTGCTGGGAGGTGGCCCATGCTCCAGCCCCTGAAGCTGGGATGCTGCCATGGAGAAGGCACTGGGGACTGTCACCTGCTGCTGCTCGTCCCCCTCCAGCACAGCTGGGCACAGGGGGCGTGGGATGGGGGCTTGGCTGCTGGGTGCCCCCTGCGTGCTCCTGGGTGGGTGGGTGGAGGTGTGGGTCCCTGCGGTCCCCACTGCAATAAAGGCATGTGGAGAACGTGTCCTGTGAGTGTGATATGGGGACAGAAGGGGTGGCATGGGGGAGAGGGGGTGGGCAGCCAGTTGCTGTGGGTCCCCTGGTTTTAGTCCTCAGCCTCAGTTCTCCTGGCTCCATCACCCTGAATTCAGCTGCTCAGACCCAGTCCAACACCCCCAATTCCAGCCTCACATTCCACTCCTGCAACTTCAGCCACTACTTTCAGCTCCCCAGTTGCAGGCCCTGACTGCAGTCTCCAATCCCACCTCCGTGATTCCCCTCTTTGATCCCAGATCCCCCAATCACAGAATCATTTAAGCTGGAAAAGACCTCCAAAATCAAGTCCAGCCGTGGACTAATCACTTTTTCATACACCATGGCGCTGAGTGCCGCGTCCAGTCATGTCTTGAACACCTCCAGAGACTCGATCACCACCCTGGGCAGCCCATTCCAATTTGTAATCCCCCTTTCCGTGAAGAAATTCCTCCTGATGCCCGGCTTAACACCCCCTGGTGCTGCCTGAGACTATGTCCTCTAGTCCTGCCGCTAGTGGCGTGGGAGAAGAGCCGGATCAAGCACCAAAAAACACCTTTTTTAAGAAGATGTTTACATTTTCCGCATCCCGCAGCCCCGCCGACCTCGGGCTCCCCGGCGGTGCAGTTCCCCTCCCGCCCGCCGGACGGCGCTGCCCCGCGGGGCGGGCGGTGCGCTGCGGCCGTTCCGCTTCCGCGTGGCCGCGGCCGTCGGTCTGTCCGGCCGTCGGTGCCCGGTGTCTGTCTGTCCGTCCCGGCCGTCGCTCGGTCCGTCCCTGGGCCGGTGCTCGGCGGCGCCATGAACCGGCCGAAGGCGGCGGCCGTGCGGCGGCCCAGCGCCGTGCCCAAGCCCTCCGGTGAGTCCCGCGGGGCGGGCGGGCGGGAGGCTGCGGGCGCTGTCCCTCGCTGTCCCTCGCTGTCGCTCCCTGTCCCTCACCAGCGCCGTGCCCAAGCCCTCCGGTGAGTCCCGCGGGCGGGGGGCTGCGGGCGCTGTCCCTCACTGTCCCTCACTGTGGCCGTGTCTCCCCTCGCAGCGCACCCGCCGCCCGGAGACTTCATCGCGCTGGGCTCCAAGGGGCAGAGCGGCGAGGGCAAGGCCGCCGTCACGCTGCTGAAGCCGGCGCCGCCCGGGCTGCCCTCGGAGCGCAAGCGGGACGCGGCCGCCGCCTTGGCCGGCCCGGCGGGGCTGCCCGGGCTGAGCAAGCGGCCCAAGCTCTCCTCCACGCCGCCCCTCAGCGCCCTGGGACGCCTGGCAGAGGCGGCCGTGGCGGAGAAAAGAGCCATCTCGCCCTCCATCAAGGAGCCGTCTGTCATCCCCATCGAAGGTGAGGCGTCGCTGCGCTCCTGCCGTCGCACGGAAGCCTCGGGGAAACTTCTCCTTGCTCTGGAGTCTCATCCCAGGATCTTTCTTGAAGCCCACACTGCAATTATGTGCTGTCCTCGAGGGTTTCCTTGCCTGGATATTGGGCTGAACTCAAGGTTTTCTGTTCTGCTGGCATTGGGTTGCGTTCATTCTGTCTGACAGCTGTTTAGTAGCTGTATGTGAAATACTCCTTTGAGGAAATCTCAAAGTCTGGATTGTGGTATTTTATTCACATACTTCTTTAGCAATCTCTGGGTTTGGATGTTGCCTATTGAATTGTCATTCTGTTTCTGATGTTGGATACATTCACAGAGGAGTGTGCTAGCATGGAAAATCAATGAAGGGGCGTTGTCAGTTGTGAAACAACTTTTAATGGCAATTGAGTAGGGAAAACCTATTGCAGGGGCTAAAAGTGAGCTGGTCTGTGCTTTGCTGTCCCTTGTGATTGGTCCTGCAGCATCTCAGGGTGGTTATTTGGCGTGAGGATAAATGCTGATGCCTTGTGTTGGTGGTTGCAGTCGTCCCCACAGTGCTGCTGGATGAGATTGAGGCAGCAGAGGCAGAGGGCAACGATGACCGTATCGAGGGGGTGCTGTGTGGAGCTGTGAAGCAGCTGAAGATGAACAGAGCCAAACCTGACACCACTCTCTACCTGAGCCTCATGTACCTGGCAAAAATCAAACCCAACATATTTGCCACTGAAGGGGTCATTGAGGTGAGGACTCACAAAGTCACTGACGGATCATTCCTGCCAAACTGTGAGCAGAGCTGCACTTTCTCTCAGACCAGAGCGGGGTCTGCATGGCTTTGTAAATACCAGAGCTCTGCAGTTTGTATTTCTATTTCTGCAGCTTCTCTGCAAGCTTTCTCGATAGATGATTTGTTTATTGTTTTATGTTATTCCAGGCACTGTGCAGCCTACTCCGAAGAGATGCTTCCATCAATTTCAAAGCCAAAGGGAATAGTCTTGTGTCTGTCTTGGCATGCAACCTTCTCATGGCAGCTTACGAAGAGGATGAGAACTGGCCAGAGATCTTTGTCAAGGTCGGTGAACTGAGGGGGCTTCTGCTGGACTGAGGCAGTGGTGGGCAGACTGGGCTGAGAAATGTGGATGTTTTGGAGCAGGAGAGCAGCACAGGATTTATTACAGATGTAGCTAGTGGAGGTGGCTAGTGTCCTCTTGTCCACTGTGGGAATGCAATTGAAGAAGGCAGAAATTTGAGTCTGGGCCCATCCTTTTAAAGAATCTCCTTGGGTTTCTGGAATGTAGCCTCCATTGCCTTTTGTTGCCTTAATGCTGCTCTTCTGAGATGTCTCTGGGAGTCTGTCCTTGTTTTCTCTTCAGTGTTAACTTAACCCATTAACTTAAAAAAGGCTGAGCTGACCAGCTTCTATATTTTGATGGCAGAAGTCATGGTAAAGTTTTTCTTGAGAAGGTGCCCAGTAGAGCTTGGGATGTGGTGGTGTATATTTTTGCTCTTGTAATCATCATCTGTTCTGGTTTTCATCCATGCACTGGTTATGCTAGTTCCCTACTCTGTATATTGGAAATTCATAAAAACTCACAAATGCTCCTTAATTAACCCCATGGAAATGGGCTGTGCTCCCTGCTGCAGGTGTACATCGAGGACTCCCTTGGGGAGCGCATCTGGGTGGACAGCCCTCACTGCAAGACATTTGTGGATAACATCCAGACAGCTTTTAACACAAAGATGCCTCCTAAGACCATGCTCTTGCATGGAGAAGTTGGACGTAGTGGAGGGGACCTTAGTGCTGGTAAGAAGATGTTTGGGAACCAGGAGCAAAGGTTTAGGGAGAGGATGGAGCCTGCAGTGCTTATTGACTTGTGAGAATAGTTTGGTGTTAGATGGAGTCATATAGACCAGGCTTTGAGTTCTAGGCATTGCTTTTCTTCTTTTTGGGGCTCTTTCATGTCCAGGGGATGTTTGGGGGTAGTGAAAAATGGGCCTGTATGGGATGCAGTGTGAGAGGCTATGATCTTTCTGAAAGGGATCCCTGAAAGAAGCTGAACAAGCCAGAGCACAAGTGATTGATCTCTAGAGAGAGGAGTTGTGTGCTGTGTCCAGTGATTGATCTCTGGGGAGAGGAGTTGTCTCATGGAGTGTGTGTGTCCTGGTCTCTCTTAGGGAGTAGCCCACACCCTTCCATGACAGAGGAGGAGGACAGCCAGAGTGAGCTGCTGATTGCAGAGGAGAAAATGAGCCCGGAGCAGGCGGGCCAGCTCATGCCCAGGTACAGTGGCTCTTCCTCTCCTAACAGTTGTGTGCAGCTGTGTCTGTAGAGGTGTCTGTGCTCACCCACCCTGCAGAGCTGTGGCAGGAGCTCTGTGCTCCTGTGGCATCTGCTGGGTGACGTTGATAAAGATAAAACTGGTTCCAGGAGAAAAGAGGGGATTTTTTTGGTTTGCAAGTCATACCACAAAGAAGAAAGAGTGCTGATCTCTGGACTGGCTTTTCTGGAAATGGGTAAAGTTCGGTCTGTGTGCAGGTATGAAGACCTTGCAGAGAGTGTGGAGGAATATGTGCTGGACATGCTCCGGGACCAGCTGAACCGGCGGCAGCCCATGGACAATGTCTCCAGGAACCTCCTGCGGCTCCTCACAGCAACCTGTGGCTACAAAGAGGTGCGCCAGATGGCCGTGCAGAGGCTGGAGATGTGGCTGCAGAATCCAAAGGTAAGGAGAGGAGCTGCTGAAGCACAGCCCTGGTCTGGAATCCAGCCAGGAGGGCTGCATGCTGTACTCCAGTTGCGTTTCTGGTCCGTAATGGCGAGTGGCTGCAGTCTTTCTGCTCTTTTTCTGCAGTTGACCAAGCCAGCTCAGGACTTGCTGATGTCAGTCTGTATGAACTGTAACACCCACAGCTCAGAGGACATGGAAGTTATCTCCAACCTGATCAAAATTCGTCTCAAGCCAAAAGTCCTTCTCAACCACTACATGCTGTGTGTCAGGTGAGTGACTGGGTCGGTGACAGGAAGGGAAAGCACTGTGGGAGATGTGCCCAAGGACTTGACAGTCTCAGTTTCTCTGCACAGTGGTGTTAAATACCAGCTTGGGGCATGGAGTGTCTTGTGTTCATTTAAATGAATTTCATTGTCCTAGAAATCTTTCAGTAGTCCTTTGATATTATCCTTTGATATGTGCTGTTCTATCCTTTTCACTTTTGTGTGCTAAGTACTTCGAGGAGAAATGGAATGAATGTGTCCAGCTTCAAAGAAATGTCAGTTCAGGTATCTCTGGTCTTCCCTTGCAGGGAGCTGCTGAATGCACACAGGGATAACCTGGGCACCACCATTAAGTTTGTGATTTTCAATGAACTATCAAATGCAAGAAATCCCAACAACATGCAGATCCTGTATACTGTGCTTCAGCACAGCTCAGAGCAAGCTCCAAAGGTAGGTGCAGTGTCTTGGATGGCTGATGGTAACCCCAGAACCCCACCTGGCAGATTTTGTTTTGAGGCTCAGATGAATCTTATCACAGACAGCTGTCTGATCTGTATCATACTATTTTGAAATTACATAATTATTCTTGGTAGGAATAAACTTAAATGGGCATTTTCTAGCTCCCACATTCTGGGTGATAATGCAGTTTCATGAGAGAAACATCATTACAGCTCCCAGGGGTCTGAAGGACAGGATACCTCCAGCATGGTTTCCTTGTGTCTCTTCATTCTGTGGATGCAGACCCATTACAGTGCACTGAAAGTTTTCTCTCTGTGTGGCCCCAGTACCTGGCAATGGTGTTCCAGGACCTGTTGACCACCAAGGACGATTACCTGCGAGCTTCACGGGCTCTGCTGAGAGAGATCATCAAACAGACAAAGCATGAGATCAACTTCCAGGCCTTCTGTCTGGGCCTCATGCAGGAGCGGAAGGAGGCCCTCTATGCAGAGATGGAATTCAAGGTACCATTTTTGACCTTGTGCTGCTGGATGTGCCAGTGATGCACTGAGCTCTTCTGTGTCTGATTTCCTGGCCATTCTTCCTTTTGCTCTTTGGTGTCTGAGTGAGTCACTATTTGTGTGTCTCATAGCAGCACTCCCATATCTCATTTCCAAACATCCACGTTCATAATTTTTGATGACAGAACACTTCCAAAAGGCAGCTCTGGGTGTTGCTATTCAACTCTTTTTTTTTTTCTTTTCTATTTTAAGGAGCGATTTGTCATCCACATAACCGACCTGCTAGCTGTCTCCATGATGCTTGGTATCACAGCCCAGGTGAAGGAGGCTGGAATTGCTTGGGACAAAGGAGAGAAAAAGAGTAAGCAGAAGAACCTAGGTTCTCTCTGAGGATGAGCATCTTAGTAGATATATGCCCCTGATGTTGGGAGAACATCACTAGGGTTGGGAGCCTGCTGTCATCCTGGGGCTGACAGAGATTGGGGATGTGGCATTTGCATGGCTGGGGTTTTGCTGTAGCACGTGTCAGAAAGCAAAGATCCTGTTCTGTCAGAGCTGGGGTACTCAAGTCTTTCTCATACACTCTTCTGGTTCCCCTTCTCTAGTGGAAGGTGTGGTGCAGGAATTGAAACAAAATTATCTTTAAGGTTCCTTCCAATTCAAACCATTCAGTGATTCTGTGATTTACTGTTGGTGCCTCAGAGTCCTGGTTACTAATTTGAAACCACCATACTTCTGATGAGGCCCATGTGTGTATTTTGTGCCCTGATTGTTTTTCAGACCTGGAAGTGCTGCGCTCTTTCCAGAACCAAATTGCTGCTATCCAGCGTGATGCTGTCTGGTGGCTGCATACAGTTGTTCCATCTATCAGCAAGCTGGCTCCTAAGGACTATGTGCACTGGTGAGAATCAGCCTGGTCATGTCTGCGTATAACCAGTCCCTTCCCCAGCACTGATATATTATGAAGAGCCAGGTGTGCACCAGGGTTTGGTTAGATTTGTCTCCCATTTTCAGACAGGGTGCAGAAACAGTTTTAGCAGGGACTGTCTCCCTCTGAAATTCCTTCAGATGCATCCTCGTACCAGAAATATATGATAGTGGAAAATATTTCAGATTTATATTATTTGGATCCACTCAGTAGGGGATTTTTAGCTATCTGACCAGGGGATTTTTAGCTATCTGACCAAACAAATTCCCTCTGGACTCCTTGTTGTTTTTTTGTTTGACATCCTTTTTAAGGCTGTATGGCTGAGGGCTCCACAGATAGTTCTGTCTTCTGGAGGACAGATGGTATTCTGGGGTCTTGACACACACAAGGCATTACTGAGGCATTTCAAGCCAGAATTAATAGTAAGCAAGGTAGGCTACTGAAAATATAAAAGCCCAGAGCCCATATTGATTGTACAGTCCTCTCAATTCTGAATCATGTTACTGTTGTTAGACTCATTTATCTGAGGGGGCTCCTTCATGTGCAGGTTGGGAAGCTTTAGCAGGATTTGAGGGAGACTGGACTGTTGTATGTATTCTTAAGCCTCACAGATGGTGTTTACTGTCCTCTTCATCCCTACAGCCTCCACAAGGTGCTTTTCACAGAGCAGCCAGAAACCTACTACAAATGGGACAACTGGCCCCCTGAGAGTGACCGCAAGTGAGTGTGTGCCCCTCCCGTGGTGGGTGCAGGTGGGGAGCTGCTCTGGCTGGAGGCAGAGGAATGGGTGTTTTCTGGTGATCCTTATATAGCTCTGTGTTGGAAAGGCTTGGAACTGTGCTCAGATTTTCTTCATCTGTTACACTGCCATAAAACTGGGGGGTGTTGTTCCACTCTCCATCTGTTTCTCTTCCTCCTTCATTCCAGTTCCCTGTGCCAAGCTGTTCTGTATCTTGACAGTGTAATTGTAAGGAGAGCAGCCCCACAGTGTGTGGGTAACTGGGGTGACATTAGGGAGCTCAGACTTAAGGAGGCTGAAGCGTGGAGGTGCAAGGCACTGCAAGTGATACTCGGATAATAATTTGTTTCAAATAGTTGCATTTGAGATCGGAAAGAAGCTGTGATGTATCTTCTGCTCAGACGAGCTGTAGGGTCTGTGGAGTGTTCCAGGAGCCCTCGCACTGTTGTCCAAGGTGTGATTGATGTCTGGTGTGTCCTGCAGCTTCTTCCTGCGCCTGTGCTCCGAGGTGCCCATCCTGGAGGACACGCTGATGCGCATCCTGGTCATCGGGCTGTCGCGGGACCTGCCCCTGGGCCCCGCCGACGCCATGGAGCTCGCCGACCACTTGGTGAAGAGGGCTGCAGCTGTGCAAGCAGATGGTGAGGCTGCACACAGCTCCCACCAGCCAGGGCTTGCTTCTGTCTCCCTCCTATTGCCACCCAGGGCTGAGACAGCTCCTACCACCTACCAAAGAGCCTTTGCATCACTTAAAGCATATTTTAGTCGTGATGGTTAAACATTTGGCTCAAAACCAGACATGCTGCTGTTGCTTTCTCACTAGAGAGGCTTCTTGTTTTTTCTTACTGTTTCTAATTTTGTATCGTGGAGTGTTTGGGAAATTATTGGTTGTGTGGAGAATGAAGGACTGTGAACAACCACCCAGAGTTTTGAGTCAGCATTTTAAAATTCAATTTAGTCCTTTGTACGTACTGTAAAATGAAATTTGTAGGCTATGCAGAAATGGAAGGATTGGAAGTTAAATTAATTAACCAATTGTGTGCTCTTCCCAAGTCCATTATTGGAACACTTACAGAATAGCAGTTACAAAAGCAATCTTTACTCTTACTCCTTTTATGAATTCATTTAGCATTTGTCTAAATTCCTGCATTGCTGGTAAATACATCCATTCAGCTGAGCTGTATGTGTTTGTGGCAGAATTGAGGATGTTGTCATAGTTTGATTCTAAAGCATCTTGCATGCTCTTAGTGCTGACTGGTTGATGGCAAAGAGTGATCTTGAACTGCTCAATGCTTGTGGAAGGATCTAGACTTTGCTTGCTTTGTTGCTGTTCAGTATCCTTTCAAAATGTGTCCAGCCTCTCCTATAGGATTTTAAATCCTGTCCCATTTCATGTACTGGAAAACTCAGAGTGAATCTGAAAACTTGCAACAAAGTTGAAATGCATTTTTAGTTCCTTTAAGCCCCAGGAGTTCTGAGCAGATTTGTTGCTTACCTGAAAGAGTGTATCCAAGTTCTAAAAAAGTTACAAGTATCATATTGGATGCATTTGGGAAAAAAAGTACCCTTAAGAATTTAAACCAGATTGCTGCTGAAAAGCTCCATATCTTTATATATTGACTTATAGGATTTTTTAAGTGTTGTTGCTCTTTAAATGTTGATTTTTTTGTTTCTGTAATATCACAAGAACAAGCCCACAATAACATAGTTGCTTGAAGTAAAATTCTTTTATACTGTGCTGCTTTTTTTGAAGGACTTTCAGGTAGGTAGACAGGTCAATAACTTGTTCAGTCTTTTCTTCTCCTCCAGATGTTGAGGTCCTGAGGGTAGAAAGAATCCAGCTGATCGATGCAGTCTTAAATCTGTGCACTTATCACCATCCAGAGAATATCCAGCTACCTCCAGGGTAAGACTTATCACACAGATAATCTTGCTGTGATCTAGCTCACTTTCACCTTGTGACTAACATTACCAGCTCACAGATTTTAAGATGCTTTTCTCTATTAAAATTTGTAATAACAAAATGACAAGGATTTTCATGGTCATGTTCAGGTGGGTATTTTCCTAGAGCAGTCCAAGACCCGAGTTGTGGAATGTACTTTGGTCTGCAAGCACTGACCTTTCTGCCCTAGAAATCTTCAGCTGAATCCTGCTTTCCCCCCTGAAAGGATTTTGTGTGGGTGTGGCTGTCTTTTTGTTGGGAAAAGCACTGAACTGGCATGACTGAATCTAAACAGTGCATGATTAAAGTGAAAAGCAGGCTTAAGGAACTAAACTTGACTGCCCTAGAAATCTTCAGCTGAATCCTGCTTTCCCTCCTGAAAGGATTTTTGGGTGGGTGTGGGCTGTCTTTTTGTTGGGAAAAGCACTGAACTGGCATGACTGAATCTAAACAGTGCATGATTAAGGAGAAAAGCAGACTTGAGATGGGCTTAAGGAAACAAACTTGACCACACTTATCTCTGTTGATGGCTTTTGCAGGTACCAGCCTCCAAATCTAGCTATTTCTACTCTATACTGGAAAGCCTGGCCTCTCCTGCTCGTAGTGGCTGCATTCAATCCTGAAAATATTGGTGAGTTTGGACATTTCTCAGGATACCAGTTCTGCTGCAAAAGGTGGCCGAAGTGCTTTCTGCAGAAGTCTGGTTGCTTGTATGCAAGGCCTGTGCTGGGTTGGTGAGGTAACTGCACTTAAATACCTGTGTATCTCCTGTGGGTGAAAAATGTGTGCAGGTGGGGTTTGGACCAGCATGTGGCTGGAATTGCCTTGTTTGTGCTCTGAGTGTTATGAGCTGTTCTCAAGTTTGTGTTTCCCCACCTTGCAATGTGTTAGAGTGTATATAAAGGCTCTATTTTTTTTCCTGTGTTCCTTATAGTTCTTCTCTGCTGCAGGTCTGGCTGCATGGGAGGAGTACCCCTCTCTAAAGATGCTCATGGAAATGGTCATGACCAAGTTAGTATGGTTAAATCCCTATGTATATCAAACAGACCACTGAAAACACACATTTCTGAATTAAGTTTGTGCCATGCAACTGCTTCCTTTCCAGTGGGACTTGTGTAAGATAAACTGGCATCAACACTGCAGTTGGAGTGGGAAAAGTGCCTTCCCTTGACAAAAATATTATAAGCAAGGGAATAAAGCTGAGAAAAAGGGGGAGGGGGATGACTGCTGTGCCTTGCTGAGAAGGTCTCAGCCTCCTGGTTCCACTGAGAAACTACTTGGTTTTCCTATGTTGTCTGTCAGAGCTGAGGTCCTGTGTTCTTTCTGACTGTGGTTCATGAATTTTGAATAGAACAAGATAACCATTTCCTTTTTTTTAAACTTATTTTCTCAGTAATTATTCCTATCCTCAATGTACCTTGACGGATGAGGAGACACGCACAGAGATGATTAATCGTGAACTTCAAATCTCCCAGAGAGAAAAACAGGAGATTCTTGCATTTGAAGGTCATCTGGCAGCTGCATCCACAAAACAAACAATTACAGAGAGCAGCAGCCTCTTGCTGTCCCAGCTGACAAGTCTGGACCCTCAGTAAGTAGCCTTCTGCGTTCTAGTACCATCATGAAATCCTAGTTAACAGCACTAGTGAGGAAACCCTGCTCCTCCACGGGGTGGTTGATGTGGGGAAGAAGAACCCTGTGGGATCACAGAATCATAGAAAGGTTTTGGTTGGAAGATCATCTGGTTCCAACATGCCTGCCACCTTCCTATAAACCCCTCATGCACTACAGAGCTGACTGATCCTCCTCACATCAGAGTGAAGTTCTGTCAGCCTGTAACTTGCTGTTTCTGTGGCAGGGGCCCCCCTCGCAGACCTCCACCCCATGTTCTGGAGCAGGTGAAGAGCCTGAACCAGTCTCTTCGCTTGGGCCACCTTCTGTGTCGCAGTCGCCATCCTGACTTTCTTCTCAACATCATCCAGAGACAGGTGGGCTGTGCTGGGACTGGATCCCTTGCCTCTGAAACTTCAGCAGAGCAAGGGACAAAAATAAGCTAAGTGAGATTCAGGGGAAGGTGGTTTGCTGCTCAGGAATTAAATTATCAGTATGCTACATCTATGTTCTGCTGACCTTGCTACTCTCATCCTTCTCAGGCCTCATCACAGTCAATGCCATGGCTGGCAGATCTGGTTCAGTCCAGTGAGGGCTCCTTGGATGTCCTGCCCGTGCAGTGTCTTTGTGAGTTCCTGCTTCATGATGCTGCTGATGAATCAACCTCAGGTGAAGAAGAAGAGGAGGGTGAGAGTAAGGACCAGCGTGCCAAGAAACGCCAGGTGAGCAGTCTCTTGGGGCTCCCTTCTGTTACCTACTTTCTGTGCAGCCCAGATTTGATTTCACTGGACAGACAAACTTATCACTCCACAGAGACAGCAGAAACAAAGGCAGTTGCTTGGACGCTTGCAAGACTTGCTGTTGGGACCCAAAGCAGATGAACAGACAACCTGTGAGGTGCTTGATTACTTCCTGCGGCGCCTGAGCTCCTCCCAGGTGGCTTCCAGGGTCCTGGCCATGAAGGTGAGCAGAATGAAAATCATCTTGACTAGGGTCTGTCTGAAGCCCAGGGCAGAGCCCTTGGTTATCTTGAGTCCAGATCCAGCACAGTGAAATTGTTCCATGTCATCCTCCTTCTGTGACTTGTCTCAATCTCCAAACCCCGTCAAATGCACTTCTGCTCCCTGCTGCTCAGAAGTTATTGTTCAACAGCTAAGTTGTACTTAAGATAGAGCTGGATTTACTATGTTTCCTGTAGAGTTCAGGTGTAGGCTCAGGAGATCATGTGCCATGTGGAGTAATTGGCAGAGGCTGTTCTCTGTGAGTAGTGTGAGTGAGTGCCTGGTGCTCAGACTGAAACTTCAAGCAGGGTATCTGTCAAGAAGACACATTATATGAGATTAAATCTGTTGTGTGCTGCATTTGGAGCATTCTGTGGTGTTTGAAGCTTGTTCCTGTTATATTCACTAATGTGAAACTAGCAGTCCAGCTGTGGCTTCATGTACAACAGCTGTATGTGTGTGACTTGTGCAGGGCCTGTCCTTGGTGCTGTCGGAAGGAGGAATGCGTGATGGGGAAGAGAAGGATCACCCCATGGAAGAAGACTCTGGTGATTCTGAGCTGCTGCAGGGATATCAGTGGCTGCTGAGGGACCTCCCAAGGCTGCCACTGTTTGACAGTGTGAGAGCCACGACAGCTCTGGCCTTGCAGCAGGTGGGTGGAAGCAGCTGAAGGGAGGAGTGTCAGGTTTGTTCTTTTTCTGCTAGTGCTGAAACAGATCTAAACAAACTGGATATGGCTGTGATGTTGGCATGTTTGTGTGCTTGCAGAAGAATTTTGCTTATGCTGGTGCTTGTTTTCATTAAATCCTGATTTCTAATGAAAGGAATTCTCATTCCAGGCTATCCACATGGAGACAGATCCCCAGACCATCAGTGCTTACCTGGTGTACCTCTCCCAGCACGCCCCAGTGGAGGAGCAGGGACAGCACAACGACCTTGCTCTGGTGAGAGGAGGGATTGTGTGGGGAACACATGGCATGTCCCAGGACAGTGGTAGGCATGGGACTTGCTGTACCACCAGGATGAGTTTTGGGGCGTGTGTTACTCTGATAACTGCATGTTTGTGTCTGTGCATGGGTTGAAAGGCAAGCCTATGTCTTAGGCTTATATAATGTAATGATAATCAGAGCAATAACCTCTGGTGCAGCAGCCCATCAGCTGGAATGGGGAATGCAAGAATGGATAGTGTTTTGATAGAAATTGCACCACCTGGCAGTGTTTCGTAAGTAAGCAGGTGCTAAACCTACAGTCATATGTGTTTGCAGAAATAATGGGAAATTAGGAACTTCAGTGGTGGGATATGTACTCCCCATAACCAAAACTAGATTGCTGGGTTGGTTTGCTTGTGTGCGTTTTTTTCTTTTTAGAAAAGCTTTTGGTGATTTTTTTAATAATGAATTTTTTTTCTTTTTTTCTCCCTGGGTACTTTTTTTGTTGCTTTTAAGGCTCATGTGCTGATAGTGCCTGTGTTTGGATGCACAGAGGAGGTTGAATGATAAGCATCAGGAGATCTTTTTCTTCAGAGTAATGCTATGTAAATGCTTACTTTGTAATGGGGTGCATCAGAATGCATCTGTGCTCCACTGGGGCACTGTGAGATGCATGCAAAGCACCGGCCTTTTCCCTCCTGTGTCAGTTCTGATCTCCAGAGTAGTGTGTACTGGGCTGATGATGGGAGCTGGAGAGCATGGTGCAGTGAAACAGTGGGACCTGGCTGTGTAAAGACCTCCTGGATGTGTTCTCCCTGCAGGATGTTGCCAGACTGATTGTGGAGCGCTCCACCATCATGTCCCACCTGTTCTCCAAGCTCTCCTACAGTGCTGAGTCAGATGCAGTGCTCGTGGCTCTGCTCTCCATCTTCTCCCGCTACATCAAGCGCATGCGGCAGAGCAAGGAGGGCGAGGAGGTGTACAGCTGGGTGAGTGCCTCCTGCCTTGCCCCAGCAGGGCACAGACACTGGGCAGGTTAACAAAACAGAAGCCTTTAATGGGTTACTCAATTTGAATAAACCAAGTCCAGCTCAAGAATTCCCTGATCTGAAAATAATTGGATTGTGACATAGTATCAAAGCCAAGCCTATGTGTTTGTAAAATGCCTTTTTAACTTTTCCCCAAGTATCTTTTGTCACCACTGTTGGAGGTGCTGGGAACTATGGTCTGACTAAATTTGTCTAATCTCATGTTCTCCTTTCTCTCCTCACCTTTGCTCATCCTGTCTTATCCTACCTTTTTCCAGTCAGAGTCCCAGGATCAGGTGTTCCTTCGCTGGACTAGTGGGGAAACAGCCACCATGCACATCCTTGTGGTCCATGCCATGGTTATTCTGCTGACACTGGGGCCACCTCAAGGTCAGTGAAGTATGCTCAGATTTTTTTTTTTGGGGGGTAATGGTCAATACAGGATGTCTTTTCTCTGTCTGCTGTCTCCTAACAGGTCAGACTGGTATTAATCCTACTCACAGGTTTGACCTTGTAGTACATGTTTATAGCTGTTATTGGAATATTACTGCAAAGAGTGACGGATTTGCAGGCTGGTTTGCTTGTTTGTTTGGTTTTTTTGTTTTGTTTTTTTTTTTCCTTTTTGTTTTGTTTTGTTTTGTTTTTTTCTTTCTGCAGACAGCAGGAAATGCCAAAACAATGATGTGTTCTGATGTATTGATAGAGAAGGGCAGGGCATTCTAGGTGCTTGTGAACATGGGAAATAATTTTTTATCCACTCTTAAGCAGGGGATGGTGATTTTTACACCTTACTGGATATATGGTTCCCTGAGAAAAAGCCCCTTCCTACTGCATTTCTGGTTGACACCTCCGAGGAGGCTCTGCTGCTCCCTGACTGGCTGAAGCTGCGGATGATCCGCTCCGAGGTCCCACGGCTCGTGGATGCAGGTGAGCCTGTGCCATGTCTGCTGGTGTTCCAAACCCTGCTGGAAGGAAAGGGAGAGCCTTCCTTGCTCAGGTGTGCCCAGCCATCCTATTTGGATGCCTTTGGGTGTAGCCATCTGTCTCCGTTACTTTTAAAGTAGGGGAGTGAGTCTGAATGGATATTCCCCTTCCAGTGTATTTTAAAGGAGTGGGAGACTCTGAATTGAGGTTCCATTTCTTCTACAATGCAGATGGAACTAAGCTATGCAATCACCAGACAACAGGCACAGCACTGTGGAAAGCTGTGCCTAAAGGATGTAAGCTAAACCTCTGGTTACTCTGGTCCTCATACCACTCGTCAGGGCTCTCTTTCTTCTTGGTATTCAGAGCTTTCATCCCATTTTACTAATTAAATGACAGCTGTCTATAGCCAGTGATTGAATTATTCAATAATTCCTGCCTGCAGCCATCAAGAGATAGGGTGGAAGTTATTTTTTAATACGAATGATTGCATTGCTGAGGTTCTAATAAAATTAAAACAGAAGATCAGATTAGCCAGTGAGTGAATTAACTGGAAGATGCAATAAGGCAGCAATGATTTGCAGAGGAAAGAAAATATAGTAGGCAGCTGTCAGACTTCTGGCTTTAGGCTCTCTACAGCTCTGTCATTAATGTGTCACTGTTGGTCCAGACAAAAGCATAAAGATCAGGTAATAAATGTGACCCTCCATGGACAGTTCAGAGGTCTGAGGACTCAGTGTTTGTCTGTTGCAGCCCTGCAGGACCTGGAGCCACAGCAGCTGCTTCTCTTTGTTCAGTCCTTTGGAATCCCAGTTTCCAGCATGAGCAAACTTCTGCAGTACCTGGATCAGGCAGTATCTCATGACCCACAGACGCTGGAGCAGAACATCATGGACAAAAGTAAGAGTTACAGAGGAGGCTGACTAGGCATTTAACTTTTTCTTGAACAGATTCCATGAGTATCTCCTGTGACTTCCTTGGAAAAAGCCAAGCTAGTTCAGCAAACTTTGTGCACAGGCTGCTTTGGCAGCGTGTTGTCACTGTAGACACCTGGGTGGCCCTTGGCTGTATTTCCCAAAATAGAGGAGGAATTTTTGGATTGGAATGTACAGAGTCAAAAAGAACTTTGGAAGGTACTTTGTAAGAGAAATAAAGCTTTCAAGGCATCATACAAAGCAGATTCTCTTGTCTGTAGGAGCTGTACAAACAGCCAATTCTGTCCTGCTTTAATGAAGAGGGCAAGATGATGATGTGCTTTTATTTCCTTCTTTCTTCAGACTACATGGCTCATCTTGTGGAGGTTCAACATGAGAGAGGAGCAACAGGAGGCCAGACTTTCCACTCCCTGCTTACTGCCTCCTTACCAGCCCGCCGAGGTACTGCCCAGGGTAGCCTAAATATCAAAGTCATCTTCCAAACATCCCTCCTTTGTTGCTGTTGAGAGGAACAGGCAGAGATGTCTTAAAAAGCAGTCATGTTGTAATAAACCAGCAAGCTATGGTTAGACACCAGTCCTTGCTAGAGTTTTTTGCTTCTGGCAAAGAGAGAAATTCCAGTATTTTTGGAGTTTATTACAGTGAGTTTTTCTGAGTCATATGGAAAAGTAGGTCTTGCTTGAAATGAAGAGAAAAGCTGCTGAATTCCTCAGTAGAGACTGTAAAGCTGAAGGTGATCTGGTGTTGGGGCTCCAGATGCTATCTACCATAACAGCATTTTCATTCTTTTCCTTTTATTCCTCTTGCAGACAGCGCTGAGACTGCAAGGTCAAAATCCAGTCCTGAAAACTCTCAAAGTCAGAGTCGGATCCGGGCCTTGAGCCAGGTCCGTGTTCTGGGCCCAGAAGATGATCTGGCAGGAATCTTGCTGCAGGTACTGTTATAAGCTCCAGCTGAGTAGCTGCTTCCCTGCAGCAGCTTTACAAAATCCATTTCTCTTACACTTGCATCTTGTGACTCCTTATCCTGCAGTGTTTGCAGGCAATAAATATGAAAGCCCTGATGTAATGAGGCTGTGCCATTACAGCCTGGTGGAGTTGATACTGGCAGGAATTTTTTCTTGTAGTTGGAACGTGATGTGGCTTTTGATCGTGCCTGGTACTGTCAGTACCTACTAGTATGTTGCTGTCTCTGCACCTTGTTTGTTCTGTGCATAGTGCCTTTCCTCTCAGCAGTGGATGCAGGATTTGTGAAATGCTCACAGGGCCCTGGCAGCAAAGCTGTGTGCAAACAGCATTTGTACTCTGGCTTGTCTGCTTACAGAGCTTCCCTCCCTCCACTGACTCCAGAAGGAGCCTACAGGGAATTAATTGGCCAAGTTGGTTGTTGGTGTTTGGGTAGCAGGATTCCCCTGCAGTGTCAGTGTTGATAATCATGTTGGGGTTGCAGAGATGCTGCTTATGTTCATGTGCCAGGCACTAGAACATAACAGAAGCTGTATCAGAAGGTTCCCGTTAGCCTACAGTCAGTATAACTGTACAAGGTGAATCGCTCCTCTGCCTCGGGGTGCTCGTGGTGCAGCAATCCTTTCATTGTCTGTCATAAATGTACTCCCTGTTGTATCTCCCCAGCTTTTCCCACTGACCCCGGACCCGCGGTGGCAGAACTCCAGCCTGCGGCCGCTGGCGCTGGCACTGCAGCAGTCCCTGGGGCAGGAGCTGGCCCGCATCCGCCAAGGGGCCGCGCCGGAGAGCGGGGTCACGGCCAGCGGGGTCACAGGCACTGGGGTGACAGCCAGTGGAGCCACAGGCAGCGGGATGGCGGCACGGCTGCTGCAGGCCGTGGCTGCGCTGCTCAACTCCGCGCACAGCGGCGCCCTGGTCATGGCCATGCACCGCCACCACTTCATCTCCTGCCCGCTCATGCGCCAGCTCTACCAGTACCACGTGAGTGCCTTGGGGAGCATCCCATAAAGAGGGGTGAGGGACAAATGGGAAATCTGTTTAGGAGCATTTCATAAAGAGGGGTGAGGGACAAATGGGAAATCTGCAGGGCATCTGCTCTGCTGTGTGCACGTTCTGTAATGCTCAGCTCAGGTTGCCTGGCCATGGGCATCTTGGATGCAGGTTGGCAGCATTAGCTTGGCACTGCTGAGATTACCTGGAGTTAGTGCACCTTACACAGCCTGGTAACCGTTTATTGGATTTACAGCTGTAGGTCTCTGCTGGTTTGGGGATCTGTAGTCTGTGCTGTTCTGTAGCATTGGATGTGTCTTGCAAGCCAGGGTATTTGCAGTTTGAGAGCAGAAGTCTAATTCATAGAGTCATAAAATGGTTTGGGTTGGAAGGGACCTTAAAGATCACCTGGCTCCAATTCCTCTGCCATGGGCAGGGGCACCTTTCCCTAGGCCAGGTTGGTCCAAGCCCATCCTACCTGGCTTTGAACACTTCCAGGGATGGGGAGTCCAGAACCTCTGGGCAACCTCTGCCAATGCCTCACCACCCTCACTGTAAGAATTTCTTCCCAGCGCTCCGTGCCACAGGACACTGCCTTCTCCTCGCTCTTCTTCAAAGTGCTCATGCAGATGCTGCAGTGGCTGGAGAACCCCGCAGTGGAAGATGGTCCCCTGCGAGCTCAGCTGAAGGCCTTTGCTGTGCAATACTCCTCAAGGCACAGGATCACTGATGGTACTGGCACTGGGCAGCTTATGGGACTCAGAGGGGACAAAGTGGGACAAGAAAGACACAAAACTGCACCTGGAGCAGGAAGTGTTGTGGGGAGCCTTTTACACAGGTGTCATAAGGAGTTACAAAAGTAGCATGTTGTGCTGCAGAAGCTCTTTGAGGCTGTGAACCAGTGCCTTAGCTCTGGGGGCTTGCAGTAGACACCAAGCACACCAGATCTCTCAGGGAAAATTTACAATTTCTCAGGCCAGGAATTCTGTGTGAGCTATAGTTTTGGTAGGTGAGCATGCAGGAATGCCTCTGGAACAAGGTCACGTCATGACTTGTAGAGTTTATCGTCTGCCATCCCTTGGGAGCAGGAGTCTAACCAAGACCTTGTGCATGGAAATGGGTTTGTGGTTACAGAACTTCTTAGCCACATGTCCATGCAGGAGAGCTGTCAAGGGTTCTGGTGGCCATAAATAGCAGTAGAATGTATATTTGTATGTTTGAGTAGTTGTGCCCTGGAGCCACATGGGGAATCTGTGGGAGGGAAGTCTGATGTGGGGGCTGGCTTGTCCCTGTGATGCCAGTGCTGTGATTCTGTTACAGTTCGAGGTGGCTTCTTGCACCTCACAGAAGCTCTTTCTTTCCGTCGTGACCCGGACTTGATCAGCTCCACAGTCTGTGCCATCATTGCAACCCTGAAATCAGGAGAGAAGTGTAATGTGGAGCCAGAGCTCATCAGCAAAGGTATGGATGTCCTTCTGCTCTCCTTCTTTGTAGCATCAGCTTGAACTTCCAGCCCAGCAAGGCAGTGCCTAGTGTGCAGGCTGTGGGAATCTGCCTTCTCCTGGATCAGAAAATTTGAACTGGTCTAAGCTTGGCCCTGTCTTGGATCACTTCCTTTCCCCCACTGTATATGGGTTTATAAACTGTCATCTGGGGCTCAGATTATGTCTCTGAGCAAACTGTTGGTTTTCACTAACAAAAAGAACTGAAAGCCTACTATCCCAGATAAAAATGGCTTCCCTGTTCCTCACTGAGCCTGGCTATCAGGAATAGTACGTGCAAGGTTCCATACCTTTCACCACATCCTGGAGCTAATGAGTGGCATCTTTCTCCCTCTGCTAGTCCTTCAAGGTCTGATTGAAACCCACTCTCCGTACCTGGAGGAGCTCCTGACTGTCCTCTTCTCAGCTACTGTTGAGACCAGGTGTCCTGCCATGAAACCAATTGCTGTGGTGTGCTCCTTGTTGCTCCAGGACAAAGAAGAAACCCCAGTAAAGAAGGAGGTGGAGAGCTGCAGGTGAGCCAAGGCAATGATGGGAATTCACAGGTAGGTCTGGGTGCGTGGTATCACCAGTGACACTGGCCTTGCTTTGTCCACAGTGCTGAATCAGCTTGGCCAGGGCCTGCCTCTGGCCTTCTCAATGACTGGCTGGAGATGTTGGACCCAGAGGTCATCAGCAGCTGCCCTGATCTACAGCAGAAGCTGCTGTTCTCCTGGAACAAAGTAAGAATTGTTGGGCAGAGGGACTGCCGTGCTGAAACAACTTTCTGGGGTACTGACCTGCACCTGGGGCAAGGGGTAGTTTTATGTTCTCTCACAGGTTACTGTGTGAGTTCTAAAGCAATACAGGCTGACTAGGAGGACAGTTCTCTGCAAGGCTCACATTTCTCAGTGCAGGGCTTATGTTTCCTCTTATCTTTATATTTCCTCAGTTATGTTCTTTTAAGGACTTCAAAGTGCTTTACAGACACAGCATGGTCCTATAACAACCCAGCCAGCTGTGTTTTCGTTGGTATTTTTGCAGACAGATCAATAGCTTGCCCAAAGTGCCATGCCAAAATTAAGGCTGAAACTGAATTTCACATCTGATGCCATGTTCTCTCAGAGTGTGCTGCCCTAAATCCTTGTTCTGTCTGTGCTGTCTGCCCTGCTGGGTTGTCATCCTTCTGCAATACACATGGCATGTCCTACAGCCACCTTGCTACCAGGACCTGTTCATTACATCTCTTCCTCTTTTGGTGCTTCCAGGCAGGGTCCCAGGTGCCCTCCTTCCGCCCCTACCTCTTGGCTCTTCTGACTCACCAGTCCAGCTGGACCACACTGCACCAGTGCATCAGGCTTCTGCTTGGCAGGAACAGGGAGCAAAGGTGAGTCTTGTTTGGCCTAGCCAAGGGATTGAGTTGGGCAACTCTGTCTGAGAGAGAGCAAGACTTGCCATGTTCATGATGTGTCTGCCAGGAGATGTAAGTCAGCCAAAAACAGACTGTGAGAAGGATGCAGATTTCAGTCCTGCTGATTTGTGTACCTTGATATAAATATTACCTACTGTTTGATGGAAGCAGCACATAAAGATTTGGCTGTGTTCTAAACAGGAAGTGCTAATTGTGGGTAATCCATCTTGCATTGCCCTTGTTGGTAGTCTTTATGAACACAGGGTTTGCAGGATGGCTTGGATAGCAAACTGAGGGCTGTCTCTGTACCTGGGCAGGCTCTGATGGATATTTTGGTTGTACTAAACTCCATTTCCAGTCTTTTTTCTAACCCTTTCATGGCATCAGCCTCCCAGTTTTGATCTCTGCAGCAGCCCTAGCTCCCAGCTTCTACACAGATTTCATACACTGAAGTTCCAGTGTAGTCGTATTGTTACAGTTATGGACCAGGAAGTGCTAAAACCTAATAACAGCAATACTTCTAAAATTTACTTCTAAAATATTTCCATTTATTATTTTATTCGTAATTTCTTGCTCAAAATCAAATTACTTTCTCAGTTCAAGGTAACTGCTGTAATAGGGACAGCAGTAAGGTCATTGGTCTGATTGTACCAACTGTTTGTGTTGGTACAATCAGACCAACTCCATGCCTTGGTGTAAGGCTCCATGTAACCCCCACACTTGCTGAATGCCATTTGTTCTGTTCTGTTCTGCACCCTGTGCTGTGCTTATTGCAACAACTATTTAGTCATAATCTGGGAACAGAACCAACCCCCTTCTTGGGACTTAATAGGTCCTATTTTTACATTTGCAGATGTTTCTTTCTTCACAGCACTCATCATGTTTAGTGATGCTTCCGTGTGTTTGTGTGCTGCCCGAGGGTTGTGTTGACTCTAATTGCAAATCTGTCTTCTTTTGTCTTCTGGCAGGTTTGACCCAACTGCATCCTTGGATTTCTTGTGGGCCTGTATTCACATTCCTCGGATCTGGCAGGGAAGGGACCAGAGAACTCCTCAGGTACTGGTTCATTTCTTCCAAGATTACTATCTGGATCAATGTTTTCACAGTGCCTGATTTTAGCATGGCCAAGAGGTGGCTGGAGTGATTGAGGTGCAGTGTGCCAAGTTTGCTGCCTGTACCTCAGCTGATTATTTAGCTGCTCTGCTGTTACATATTACAGTGGCAGTTTAGACTCCAGAAAGCTGATAGGAACACATAAAGTTTGCCCACTTGGCATTTCCTCTGCAGCAGTTGCCACAATATCTGTTAAAGGCACAAGAGAGTGGCAAGCAAGCTAAAACTCAGCATGGGATAATTGCCATTTTACAAAGAAAAGGAGGCTGTGTCTCTTGTCCACAGAATTTCTTTGGTTTGGTGACTGAATTAGGCTTTCTGACCCGTCACACATGCTGAGATGGAAGTAAATGAAGAAGTAGAAGAGGGGTAAAGAGATTTTATTTGGGGTTGTGATTTTTTCAGAGCTCTAGATATGGGGCTGTTCTTAAGTCTGGTTCTAAGATGTTCCATTCCAGTCGGGGAAGGTGTGACTAGAAGGAAATAAGCATCTTGGAATTTGGTGTGGAATAATTTGGGGTGTTCTCTTGCATTGCAGAAACGCCGTGAGGAATTTGTGCTCCACCTGAAGGCATCAGAACTGATCAGCATGGTGGAGCTGATCCTGGCTGAAGCAGAGACCAGATACCAGAACACTGACGAGGCCTCCTGCACACTCATCCAGTCCCGGCTGCCGCTGTTGCTCAGTTGCTCTCATGGAGACCTTGAGAACATCAAAAAAGTAACAGAATATTTGACCAGCTGCATCCAGCAGTGGGGAAGCAGGTGAGGAGCATTGTCTGCTGGAATTGTAGTTCTTGGGCACAAGCAGGCAAGTCATGATGAGACTTGCCAGTATGTCTTCATTAAGAATGTCATGTTCCAGAGCCTGTATAAAAATGCACACTATCCTTCCTGAGGTTTGGGGAAATAACAAGTGGTTTAAGTGATAGTCAGCCCAGGAAGCTGACTTCAAAAGTGAAATTTAAGGACCTTCTTGATTTTAGGACTTCAGAATGAAATTCTTGACATGCTTGAGATTTTTACTTTTGTTCTTTAAGGCAGTGGTTATTTTTAATTACTAGTTCCTAACGTGGGATTTCTTGTCTACTCATCCCTTGAGTCACAGCTTGTAATACATCCTGCTTCTGACTTGCTTTCAAAGCTGAATGGAGACCAAATTGTTTCCTAACAGCTATTTTAAGACTGTGGAAAGAACAGGAAGATGATGTTTTTGTGGCAGTGAAAGGAACTGACCTAATTCCAACCTTGCTTATGATGATATTAGGAAAGATTCTAAGTAACTGTTGCTTTCTACTGCCTCCCAGTACAGACTATGCCAGGGATCTCCAGGGGTTTCAGGTGTATAGAGAACATGCTGGTTAGTCTGAATAGTTGTGGTTCTGGCTTATTTTCCAATTGGGATGGGGCTGACCCTGAGTACCACAGAGGAGCTCTGCACTGGAGATGTAAGCAGAGCTTTCTTCTCTCTCTTGTGCCCTTTGAACTGCAGTTTTCTCACTCCAAATGGCCTTGTGGATGGATGGATGGATCCCCATAGACTGTGGATGGATCTCTGTAGAAAGTGAATGATTTGAGTTGTTCAAAAGAAGCAAAGACTTAAAAACACTGGTTGAGATTAGTGATGTCTGTGTTTTCACATGCTGTGTTTGCCACATGCAGGAAGGCTGTTACTAATCTGATGAGTCTTGGATGTTTGCTACTTGAACTAATGTAGTTTTCAGTGGCTGACCTCTCCCTTTCTCCTTCAGTTCTGTGGGGAAATGCTGCCAGGACCTTCTGCTGCAGATATACCTGCAACTACCTGAGCTCCTGGTCCCTATGCCTGAGATGCTTCTTACCAGTGAAGGAGCCAGAGACAGCAGCACTTGCAAGGTAAAGTTAGAGACAGAGGAAGGCCCCTTTTCAGTTGTGTATGCAGAATGGATGCTACCTTGATGCCCAGAGTAGAAGGTGAGGGCTGGCAAAAGCTTCCTGGGTGACTTTGGTTTCTTTATTTTGCTTTTCTGTTATCCTGTCCCTGCCTGCACTCTCCAGAGAAGAGAGTTCTGGTGTGGTTTATTTTGCAATGTCCTTCTATAAAATAATATAAGCTCCACAAGCTTCTGTGTGCCAAAGGCTTCTGTAAGACAAAAGTGTGCAGACATCTGATCCTACTTTGATGTCTGTAGGGACTGTGGACTTCAGATCCCATGCCAGCTGGAGCACTGCATCTGCTCACAGATTCTACCTGAAAATAATTTCTGCTAACCCCCCTGTGTAGCTGGAAAAGAATTGGGAAGCACTGCTGGAGAGCCAGGGGCTGGTTTGTACATTAAACTTCTTAACAGTTTGCTCATTATTTTTCTTCCAGCTTGATGCCCTGGTTCACAGATTCATTAACCTCCTCGCAGACACCAGTGACTCCAAGTCATCCGAAAGCCGCGTGTGGGATGCCAATATGGCCTGCAGGAAGCTGGCTGTGGCTCATCCCATCCTTCTCCTTAGGTACCTCTCTCTCCCTGTGTGTGGCTGGGGCTTATTGAAAAGCATCCAGCCTTGTCCTAGAAAGGCAACAAACTTGCAGCAATCACAGTAGTGGTGAGAGAATTCACCTTCATGTACAGATGTCAGAGAAAAGGCAGCAAAGTTACATCTTTTACAATGAGGGAACACCTTGTGTCTGTCAGGAAGTAATCTTGGAATTGGAGACTAAGGAGCAGAGTGTGGGTAGGAAATGGGGCATGCTGAGTCTATCTGTACAGGGATCAAGACAAGAACTCTGAGAGAGGATAAGGGATTTTACTTTCCAGGAAATGAGGTAACATGTACCTTTGAAAGATCTAGGCTTAGATTTTCTTGTTTGGTGTTTCAGGCACTTGCCAATGATTGCAGCACTGCTGCACGGCCGCGTTCACCTCAATTTCCAGGAATTCAGGCAGCAGAACCACTTGACCTTCTTCATCCATGTCCTGGGGATCCTGGAGCTGCTCCAGCCGCAGGTCTTCCAGAACGAGCACCAGGCGGCACTCTGGGACTGTCTCCTGTCCTTCATCCGGCTGCTGCTGGTAGGAAATCCCTGCTTCCCTCCCTGTGCTGGCCACTAGATGGGGAAGCTCCTGTAACACAGGGTGCTTCTCATTTGAAGGGAAAGCCTTCCTAAATGCCTAAGAACAAAAAAGTGCATTAAGTACCTTGGAGAGCTTGAAGAGGAGGCAGCAGACCAAGAAACTGCTCCCTGGTACCCAGAGGTGCAGGATGGGGCAGTGCATTGTTGCTATTTTTTGGTTAACTCTCACCTTCTTGATCCTTTCCCAGAACTACAGAAAATCCTCACGGCACCTGGCTGCCTTCATCAGCAAGTTTGTGCAGTTTATCCACAAGTACATCACGTGCAATGCCCAGGCAGCTGTCTCCTTCTTGCAGAAGCACTCGGATCCACTCCAGTAAGCTTCCTTATGCCCGTTAGCCCATGCACAGTCAGATTGCCAGGAGCTAATCAGACAGCAGACAGCAAGAGGATGTGACAGAGTAGCTGCTAATATGGCACATTTTTATCCTTGGCTCCTTTAAGCCTCCACTGAAATGAGCAGCATATCTCTTCTTTATAGGTGAAAACAGAGCCCAAGGAAGTCACATAATGACTTTAACTCACATAATGGCCTAAATGTTATATTGAAGTATTATAGTGCCCTGCAACCTTTCCAGAGAGGCAGCTGGAGAGTCTTTCCCCAGAGCAGTGACTGCAGGGTCCCACCTACAGATATGTGGGGGAAATGCATTTGAATTCCAGTCATGAAGAAAGGAAAAATCTTGTTTCTGCTTCTGAGAAGCTCTTTGTTTCAGTGTACATATCTGTATTTGTATCAGTGTACATATCAGTGTACATATCTGTGCTGTTGAAACCCAAACACACCACCTCTTTTTCCCAGTGACCTGTCATCAGACAACAGTGACCTAGCAATGCTCAAGTCCCTGCTGGCTGGGCTGAGTCTGCCTAGTAAGAGTGGCATCTTGGACAGGGGCTCTGATGAAGAGAAGGATGGTGAGTCTGGCTGGGAGAAGAGTTATTCCAGCTGGTGAACCTACACTCTATTTTGGAGAATAGGTGTTTTTGTGGGGTGTATACTGTGCTTGTTCTTGAAACAGCTCAATGTGTTTAGGGTGGAGAATGGCACTTGTATGCTCAGCAGTTGGGAAACAGTATTTGGGATGGGTTAATTTGTTTTCCTGCCAGTGGTATCAGGACTGGAGCAGAACAGCTCTTAACAAGGGTGAGTTTCCTGGTCGTGGATTTTGCCCTTTTAATCCACACTTAAGGATTGACCTGCTGGGGGGACTCCAAGGGTACATTCATTCTTCCACTGTTGACAGCTTGCACAGCTTGCATGGGAAAATTATTCAGTATTAAAAGAGCTTGCAAAGCTTCCTTCTCAGTGTCAGCTGAGGGGGTTACAGGAGGTGCAGAGAGATTAGAGGCAGTGTGAGACAATTGTATCTCAGCATTGCTGGTGGCTGATGATGCACCTCTGCACTGGTGGGGAATACTGGGCAGTGCACAGGCTGTCAGCAGTGCCCTGCTCTCTCTCTCCCCCCAGAAGAAGCAGCTGCTGGCTCTCTCCCCCTGGTCAGCGTGTCCCTCTTCACTCCCCTCACGCCGGCTGAAATGGCCCCGTATATGAAGAGGCTCTCCAGAGGCCAGACAGTGGAGGGTGAGTGAGGACCTGTGTGCAAAGCCACAGGGCAAATGCAGACATTTGTCAACCTTGTTACTTATCTGTCAGCAGCAGCCTGATTTCCTATTTCAGTCCTGTGTTTGGAAGTCACCAGCAGTTAGGATGTTGTTCCATTTTTGGATTAACTTGTCCATAGCCTCCTGTGATTCTGTGACAGAGGCTTCCTATGATTCTGTTATCACTGAGCTCAGCAGTACTTCAATAGCCTTTTAGGTTGAGGTTGGCCCTTGTGGACCATTTGATGGCCCCTTTGAGGCTCTTCAAGGATCTTCAAGCATTTTGGGACATAGTGTGAATAAATCAAGGAATGCTGCAGTTTGAGCCAGGACTGAAGTGCTGATAGGAATGAAATACCAAACTGATGAGAAGCAGGATTTGCTGGAAATCCCCAAATGGCCTTCATGGAAGAAAACCATGTTAATCTGGCATATGGGAACAATAATCTCCAAAGGTCTTCTGAAATTACAGGTGTCCTGTGTTCAAACCTAAGTTGTGACAGTTTTCCTTCCAATGTAGAATAGGACAAAAAAGTCCTGCTTGTACCTCGTGTTTTAAAGAGACATTCTGAAGGTCTTTAGTTACAGAAGAAGGTGTTCTGAAACTGAAACCTCTCGCCCCATTGCATTCCTTCCTTTGCCTGGGCAGGTTGGGATGTGTTGATCTGGCACATCCCTGGTCTCCTCCTTTATGAAGAACTGCCTTTATTACACTGCCTCTGTGTGCAAGTGGGAAAACTTGATGGCTTGGGAGATTTGTTTTGTGGGGAAAAAGATTCTTTGCTGGATCAGTGAATTTCAGTCACCTTTTCAACCTGTGTCTTCTCCCAGATATCCTGGAGGTTCTGACAGACATTGATGAGATGTCCAGACGGAGGCCAGAAATTCTTGCCTTTTTTGCTGTGAGTATTGGTGTCTCACTGCCACTGGAAGAAAGAGATTCTTTTCACCAGAGTCTGTTGCACAGCCAGCTTAAGCACTACCCTTCCTCTGCTTTTTGGGGATTGTTGCAGCACCTTAGGAAAAAAGTGTCCTCAGTTAGCCCTGCTGAGGACAGGCAGTATTTCCCTCCATTGCATACTGCCTCAACTATCATCTGCTGTATGTCAGAGGAAGAATTAAACCTCTGTCCTCTTCCCAGGGCAAGAAGAGAACAGAACAGCTGTTGAATAAGCTGGAAACTAGGGAAAACTCAGCTATTCCACATGAAATAAGATTACAGAAGGGTACTTTAAAGTATTCAAAACCAGGATAATCTGTTTTACAAAGAGGGATTTCTGGGGTCAGCCAGTACCTGCTGGATTTGTGTTGGGCTGGATTGGTGTGGAAGGGGAGTAATGCCAGTCTGAGGAGTTTGTGCTCCCTGAATGGCCCTGTGATCCACATCTGTCCATCTTTCAGACAAACCTGCAGAAGCTGATGAGTTCTTCAGAGGATTCCTGCCGAAACCTGGCCTTCAGCCTGGCTTTGCGCTCCATCCAGAACAACCCCAGGTGAGCACCACTGCAACTGAGGCTGTGCTGGCTGATCTGGGGCTCTACTGACCCTGTCATGTTTCACTCCCAGCATTGCTGCAGATTTCCTGCCCACCTACATGTACTGCCTGGGCAGCCGAGACTTCGAGGTGGTGCAGACAGCACTGAGGAACCTGCCTGAATACACCCTCCTTTGCCAAGGTACCTGTGGATCAGCCACCTTTGGGGCAGGCTTGGCCTCACAAGGGTCAAAGCTGGGTCCTGTGCTCCCCTGGGAAGTTGCCATGGATTGTTATTGCTTAGACCAGGCTGTCAATGCCAATAGTAGCTTTGGGCTGAGCTTCACAAGGGAGATTTGTCATAGAGACAAGGGGGGCTTCCTTGAAGCAGATTTGCTCCCTTACAGTCTTCTCTGAGTTGTGACCTCTCACATGATCACAGAGCTGTTAGAGGGGGGTTTGTGCCAAGTTCTTGTGGAAAAGGAGATTTCTCATACAGCTGCAAATGCTCACCCAGTGGTTGTTGGTGGATTGCTCTTGCACGTGGAGCCCTGGGGCCATTCCTCACTCTGCCTTTCCCTTTCCCTTTCCCAGAGCACGCAGCAGTGCTGCTGCACAGGGCCTTCCTGGTGGGCATGTACGGCCAGATCGACACCAGCTCTCAGATCTCAGAGGCCTTGAAGATTCTGCACATGGAGGCCATGATATGAACATGGGGTTCTGGGAGTTCCACTTCCAGAGGACTTAATTTAATGGACTCATCAGCTGCATTTCAGCCCTTTAAGAAGAACACTGTGTTGCAACCCATGTGCTGGAGGATCAAAGAGGTGATGTGGCAGGCCAGACTGGGCTGGAAAAGAAGAAGGTGCTGACTGAAGATCAGAAAGGGGCAAGGATCAATCTGGCTGGCTGAGATGCCATTATTGTGGGAGAAAAATCTCCTAAACATTGTGCCAAACAGGGACCACTTCCTTCTTGGGGTCTTGGGGCAGTGGCTGTTGGTTTGCTGTTTGGGTTTTTTTGTCTCTCCAAGAAGGCAGCGCTCCTGGGAGAGCAGAAGGGAGTGAGTGATGGCCCTTAATTGAAGTGTCTGCACTCTCTGTGTTGGAGAGAACATGCAGATTTGTGCAGGGGGAGAGACCACTTTGGTTTCTGGGGGTGGGTGTTTTTTTATTTTATAATTAAAATCCTCTTTGTTTCGATTGTGCCTTTCTCTGCTCCCTTGGGCGTAGCTTGACATCCCTCTCACCCTGTTCTTTAGTCTCTTGTTCCTCTAGACAAAGCATCTCTGGAAGACCTGTCTCCATGGCCAAGTGCTCACAGGGCTGTCTAGGCCTTTTGCAGGATATGCAAGAAATGGAGCAGATTTGGAAGGGTCAGTGAGGTACCGTGGATGAGTTGGGTCAGTACCAACTGCTGACAGACCAACTTTTAAGAGATTCCTTGGAAAACTTTTGTTTAAAAACAAATAAAACAAACTTCTTGGTACATCTGCAAACATCCCAGCAGCTGGCCACTGTCACAGTAGAGGCTTTGAACCAGCAGCTGGGTTTCCTCATTGGGATCTGCCAGTTCCTCCCTGTGACTCTTCTGACCACTGCTGTCTGGTCCTTGCCTGCTGATAGGGGTGATGGTTTATTTGCCAGCTGTCATTTGAGGACAGGAAATCTTCCTTTCCCCTGCTCCAGAGAAATTACTGCTCCGTGTGCCTGTTCTCCGGCATCAGTTAATTCTAATCACCAGTTTGTTCTCCTGTCTTTTATCTCTTTTCCTCTGGTGTTCCACTTGTTAGTAGAAAAACACTGTAGTATAGTAGTGGAAAACATCCTGGAGGAATTTTATCTCTATCTCCTTGCTGGTGGCAGGGACAGTTGTGACCTCATAGGTGGCTGGGTGGGGAAATATTTTCTGTTCTTGCACATGAGGAATACCACAGCTGAGCACTTTAGCTGGTGTGTCAAAATATGAATGAATGTCCAGCTGGCTTTGCAAAGAAATGGACAAGAAAAGGGGGAGAACTGAACCTCCCATCAACTCTAAGTAGCCTTGTCTTTAAATAGAGATTAGAGCCATCAGTTATGGATGCAACATGCTCTTTTTCCTCAGCAGCATCTGCTTTGCATCCGGAGCCACTACGGTGGCAATTAGCTCCATATAAATTATGTGGAGGAACAGCTGAAGGAGAGCAAGTCAGTGGAATGGGTTTCCTGAGGGGCTCAGTGACAGCAGGATTAATGCCTGTCCAAGGGGAGCCAGTAATCTCACTGGGAACCCTTACCTTAGTCCCTTATCACACATCATTAAGGCACTGCTCAGTTTGTCAGGGCAGGGAGGCAGTTCTGCTGGTGCTGCTGTGGACCTAGAGCAGCTGGGAACTTGTGGGACTTCCTGGAAAAGGGCTTTTAAGGACTTCGAGTCAAGGAGCAAGGAAGATGTCTCAAGACTTATTGTGCAAAGACAGTGAGTCAAACACGATAGTGGTGCTTTGGTAAAGATCCTCTCTGCAGCTGGGGCTTTCCAGAAATTCCACTCTGGGGCTGCAACTAGAAACATTTACAGGCAAAACCAAACAATGTGGTTGGTCCCAAATTGTCCTGTGTCTGTTTTGCAATGCCTGTGGTGAGCAGACCTGCTCCAGGATGCTTGGGTCACAGGGGCAGGGCACGCTTGGATGTTGGCAGAACTACTTCAGGACCCCCCAGTCCAGAGCAGACAGGCTTTGCAGAGCTGTGTGGAAAGAGATGTGTCTGGGAAGGTGGAAGGAGCATCTCTTTAGCAGCAGCAGCAGCAATCTCCTTTTGGGACATCAGGAAACGAAGTCAAGTGGAGGTGATGTGGGTGGAAGTTACTCTGCAGAACTGAGACTTCCCATACATCTCCCAGGACAAAAATCATCATGTGTGATTTGTTGATCTCTCATTTTTGCTGTGTTGAAGGTTCCCACAATGCATTTTCTCTGCTGCCATCCTCTGCTTGGACCCAGTGGAGCTAAGCAGGTTGCCTTGGCTCGAAGTAGATCATCAAAAGCAGATCAGTGCTGAAAACAGGGCTGTCAGAGGGTGCCTGGCTGGGTGGAGACAGCTCAGGGCAGGGCCCCATCCCTGCTGTCAGGGAAGGCAGCTGTGAAACTCTCAAATGGTTGGTGACAGTGGTACTGATGTCCTGACACTTGCCTGCCTGTAATCTGTGCTCTGTCATTTCCATCTCTGCCTGGCTGAGCACCTCCTCTCCTCCCATCCTGGCTGAGCTGACAGTGTCACCCTTCACAGCTCATCCCAGGCTCCTCCTGGGGCTGGGGCCCTCTTCTGTGTCTTCAAGAGCTGGTGCCTTGATCAGAAGAGGAGTGGTGAGGAGGTTTGCAGGGTTTTTCCTGGCCAAGCCCACGGGGCCCCATGACTCACCCAGTGCAAGTCACTGCTCCCATCTGCCTTACAGGCAGCACATCCCAAACTGGTGCAAAATGCTTGTTTAGACACTTTTACCATCATCTCCTGTAGTCAAGAGCTTTCTAAAGAGACTGAGCTGCCAGAGCTGGTGGTTGGGGCCGGGGAATGTGTTTAACACTGGCTCTGGGGAGGCTTTTTGTCTTCTCAGGTACACTGGGAATTCCTTGCCAGCCGTAGGGGGAGGCCTGATGGGGAAGAGAACATTGGCCAGAGGTTTGTTTCTCATCCTGTGGCTGCACTCAGCTCAGGGCAAGGCTGGCTCTTGTCCAGCATGCACATGATGGGCCTCCACTGCTTGGCTGGGCACAAGTGGGCATCTCTCAGCTGGCCAAACCACACATCTGCCAGGCTCTGTGGGGCTGGAATTGTGGCCCCTCACATGTGCCAGTGTCCTGGAGGTTTGTGGCTTTTTGGCACAGCTCTGGGCAAAGTTGTGCATCCCAGGAACTCTGAGGGGTATCCTGGAGCAGCATGTAAATTTGGTCATAGCAGGGTGTGGCTGAGCAGGGAGGTGCCTGCCTGTTCCTGCCTCGGTGGCTGCTGCCTCTGGGACGTGCTTGGTTTGGGGAGCTGGACAAGCCCCACCACTGAGCTCAGAGGAAATTCTGCCCAACCTGCTACACCAACAGCAGAAGCACAGGGAGAGGTGTGCAGGTAACAGCCACCAACTGGGATTTCATGGCTAAAGGCTGATGTTGTGCCAGGCATGAGAAATGAGAAATGGTAAAGAGAAGCCTCACCTTGCAAGGAGCAGCACGCAAGAAGTCTTGTACAAAATAAAGGAGAAGAAACCTCTCCTTCTACCTGCTGTCTGTGTGTGGAGCCTGTTCCCAGGAGTGCTCCCTGGGGTCCTGCCATCCACTTCCTCCAGCCAGCCTCATCTGTGACCTCCATCAGTGACAAATGCAATCCTGGCCCTGCCTGCCCTCAATTAACTTCCTTCTGGTCACACCACAGTTCAGGACAGTGCAGTTCACACTTAACTTGAGGAATGGTTTGCTAAAAGCTAAAAATGGTAAGACTTTTGTTAACTTTAGGACTGTCAAAGCCAGCCCCATGCCAACTAAGTAGCCTGGCTGCTCTAGGGGTAGCATTTGCCTGAGGTGAACTGTTCTTTGTGTTGCCTGTCCTTGTATTTAGATAATTTGCCCCTAAAGTAGGAGAATATAGAGCCTGAAATTTCCCATCATTTTAAGATCAGAAGACCTCTGTAACAACATATCTGCCTGTCCCATGTTGCTGGTGGTGTTTTGGTATCAGCCTGTTTGCAGGAGCACCATCTCTAACACAAGAAGATACTGGCAAAAAATGTCAAGACCCCCAGCAACAATTAAAAAATTAATTAAGCTACAGTAGCCCAGTCATTGCTGGGTAATTATTAAGCTGTAAGAATTGCTAATTGTCTTATTAGCATTTAGCAATTATGCAAATAATGGAAAACATACCATAAGAGCAATACAATTACCTCCCTTTCTCTCTCTCTTTTATTTTTTTAAACCAATAATGATATTCAAAATTGAAAGTGATACTTATGGTTTTATTGTATCTTTGGAGAGGAGTGAGACCTCTAAGGGTGCCCAGCCCTTTTGGGGCATCCCAAAACACAGCTACCATGAGTTCTCTTGCACTACTCTCTCTTGTAGTGCTCCACACGAGGCCATCCCCTGGTTCTGCACCCACCAAGGCACCCACACAGGGACACGGGGTGGCCAGGACTGGAGAGTCACAATTTTATACTCTCTCAGATATTTAGGGGAGTCCCTGCTCTCCCCTAATAAAGCACATAGTGCTTCAGGTTTGGTCTGGGTGAAAGCAGGGCATTTTGTAGTTTTTCTGTCAATTCAGTCCAGAAATAGAAAGTTCTGACCTTTGGAGTTGCTCTGCCTCAAGGATTTTATTCCTATGAAGTTCATAACCTGAGGTAGGAGGTTATGAACTTCATAGGAATAGGAGGTATTCCTATGAGGAATAGGAATAGGAGCTGGCTTCTCCAGGTGAGTTTCCAGATGGATTTCAGGGTTCAGGAATAAGCTGAATGATGAGCAAGTATTTTTGTGTTCCTTGAGACAAGAATAAGACCTCACTTTCCCTCACTATTGGGAAAAAGAAACTTCACTTACTCATATCTGCAATGGGCCTGGAAAATATAAAGTGCTTTTTTGCTTCAGCACATTCACACTGTTAATCACTAACAAATTTTATTGGTTTTACAGGCATTAAATTCTGCTTTACTGATAAGATTCAGCATTTCAAAGTGCCCAAGCCAGTTCCTGCTCCAGGGTGTGTTCTGCTCCCATGGTGGGGCCTTGATAAACCTGGGCTCACTTCACCCAGTTGCATGATCCAAACAGGTTTTGTTTGGATGTGTGCAAAACACACCTTTGCTTTTGCTTTCTGATAAGAATGGGGATGTTTGCAGCTCCTGGAGGACTAGAGAGAGTGCTCTGCCATGGCACTGCAAACACTGAGGATCACCATCATCTCTTTCCCCTCCTTGTCAGACAAGGGGAGATCACCTTGGGAAATAAATACCACCCCCAACCCTCTTGGAGTGCTCCTTTCAGCTCCCTGGGACTGGTGACTTACTAAGCTGCTGTTTATGCCCTTTTCATTTTTCCCATCACCTGGTGTGTAGGATGCAGGATGTGAGTAATCTCTTATCTTTGCTGCCTGGAAACAACTTTCTGAAATCACCCTCTAGCCTGTCCCTCATTTCACTGCACTGGGGGACAGAAAAGCCAGCAGGACATCTGGCTGCTGGGTAGGAGGGACAAGGGAGAGAGACTTCTTTCTGTTTTGATGTGAGATTGTATTATACCTGGGTGATAGGACACTCTTTTTTCTGATGCTCACTGGTTTTGGTCCTTTGAGATTTTAGGATAATGGGTTTACCATTTATGAGCTTCTCAGGGGGATGTGTTGCAGAGAGATTTACCAAAGTGCCTTTTCCTGTAACTCCATGTTTCTCTTTCATCTTCTTGGAAGAATGGAAGAAGTTGAAATTCTTGTTCAGACTTGAATTTCATAATAACTTTTTTATTCTGCCACTTTTACAGGTCAAGCTAGTCAGACTCTGAGGGGAGGCAGGTATCATGTGGAAGCATTTCTGCGTGAGTAGCTGTGAAATTGTTGGGGCTTTCTTTTCCCTGTTTGGGGCCTTTCCATCTCTGTGGAGTCAGCCTGGCTGCCTTCTGGGAAGGAAGAGCTGATGAGGCATGTTACTGATGAGACAAATGCTTTTTCCTTCTTGTTTTAAATCCCTCAATTTAATTCAAGCCATTGGCACGGGGATGTATGAGAGCTCTTGGCTACAACACACACTTCCTATTGTTGGGAGTGAACAGCCCTGCACACAGCCTGAGGCAAAATTATGAACTAGCTCAATTTGATCAGCTGATTTCTCACAATAGTTAAAAGATGTGACTTTTTTCTGCGATGTTACGCTTTCTTATGAGAAAAAAAAATGCATCACTTGATTCTCAGCTTCATGGCTGAGGCCCCACATTTCCTGATACAAGGAATTGGCCCTTTCTCCCCTCCAGTCTTCAAGGTGACAAATGTTGGCTGGGTTTTTTGGGCTTTAGGGTGGCCTAGTCAGATATTTAAGTTTTTTCTCCACTAATGGTAAAGTCCATTGGTTGCTGCATATGGGAACCAGGATAAATTCAAGAGGTGATGGCAGAGTAATCCCCATAGTCACAGTCATAGCAACTGTCAGGAAGCACCAGCATTTCTCTGGTGCAGCCTGGTATCTAAAAGGGAACTGAAAAGAACCGAGGAAGAGAAAGAAGAGTGTCTATAAGTAGAGAAGAATAAATCAGTCCATGTCTGTGGATTGCTGCTCCAACAAGCTTCCAAACACAGCTTGGGAAGAGAGCTAGGGGAGCAGGCCTGTGCTGCAGGACACACTTTGCTCCATGAGCCAGCTGTGCATCACAGGTGGGAAACCTCACCCAGCAGCTCTGGGAAAAGCTCAGTGAGCAGGGTCAAAGTCTGCAAAATAGGATAAGGACCTATAAGGCTCCCTCAAAGGAAAAGATGCAGAAAGGAGAGGTACAATCCAGAGTAAGGATTTGTGAGCATCATCCCCTGAGGAACATCCTCAGAGAACAGCAGCTGTGGGTAATAGGCAGCTGCACAGGCAGCTCTGCTCCCTTCCTGCCCCTTCCTCTCTCAGTGTGTGCTAGTTTACCTGTTGGTGCATTAAAGGCTCATCATAGCTGCAAACTCCCACAGAGCTCTCCTCCAGAGGTTGCACAAGTCTCTGCTGCCTGTACTTTGGAAAGCCATTATTGGGCCAGCAGTAATACCCTTCCTGTGTTAGCAAACTCCTTCAGCAATGTCATTTTAATCACCTTAGTGGAAAATGTGCACCTGATTCTTCTGGTGTACCAAGGGCTGTACCTCCAGACTGACCCTCTCTTGGGATGCACAGCTTGGAGCCAGCAACTAATAGTTTCTTCTTCTGCTGCCTGCAAGCCTGGATTTGTGGTCTGACAATCTTGGTGAAAAACAGGGCTCAGAACAGGGAGGGAGGAGGTGAGACTGGTGGCCTGTGACACACAGGAATCACAGCTGCTCTGAGCCCAGCCTGGCTTTCTACTCCGTGGGTCTGTGTCCCCTGCCACCCAGCCCCAGCTGCCCCTTCCCAAAGCACGAGGTAATGAGAAGGGACTGACTGCATTGACTCATTGAGCTGGGTTTGTTAGAAGACAGATTGTCATGTTAAACAAATATATTTAAAAAAAAAACTAAGTCTCATTCCCTGGGCTGTGCCCCATCTGGGCCATTAAATCTGAAAGGGGTAAGTACAGCTGTGTCAAAGCTGCACTCAGGAGCTGATTTTCACTGTTTGGATGACTGGCAACTGGCAGCCACTCATTTCCAAACCTCATTTCCTTCTCCTCCTTTCCCAGAGCTGCTCTATGTCGATTGGAAGCGCAGCAGGGGATGCACACTGCTAAACAGAAACTCCACAGACACGTTTCCTAAACCCAGCACGTCCTCTTTATTTCTTACCAAGCCCTAAGATACCTGCGGATGGGAAGGCCTGCCATTGTTAGCCAAGCTTTTTGTAAATTATACTATTTTATCAAAGGTGTTGTGGAAATGTGGGACAGCTCATCTTTCAGGGCTCCAGCAAGTCTTTTTTGAGGGAAGTGAGGGGTAAAAACCAACTTTGAGTTAATCCAGCATTTCTTTTGATCAGTCCCTTGGTAGTCTGGTTAATTTTGAGTGCAGATGTTTCTGCTTTCCATCACAGAATACACCCAGGACCTGGGAGCAGCCTCACAGTGCCGTATTTCCTCCTCACCACACCACTCTTGTTACGGTTGTGCAGCAACATATGCTAAGGCCTTATTACAAGGGATTCCTATAAATGGCATAAAGGATTAATAATGTATTTATAACACAACTTTTTTTTTCGTATAAAGTGATCTATAAATTTGTAATAAATGTTTTATAATGTTTTTGTAGCCTGTTATAAATGATAAATGGGAGACTATAGATGCCACATCAAATATTCATGCTGCATTGTGTGCATTATTATGCCATTACTGTTCAGGAAACCATTAATAATAAAGTGAATGGAGATGTAAAAGTTGCTGACATGCCCAGCAAGCCATTTATAATGAAATGTATAATCCTTACCATAAAGTAAATACATTGGCCAGTGATTGTTGATGAAATGGAAACACTCTGAATTATTTGTGAGGTATTTATATATTAATGTATATTATCCATATCATGTCACAGAAATGCCGTTAATATATTATATGTATTATTGATTATTTCCCCCTAATTTATAGGCAGCTGTTTAAGCGTTACCTTGTCTCTTCTCGTGTTTTGCCAGCTGCATGAGGTCTGCTGAGTTATTTTATGGGGCAGCTGTTGCGGGCTGGCCATCACAGCGCTGGGGCGAGCCCGGCGGGGCAGCACGGCAGCGGGGCTGCTTGCTCCCCTGTCACCGGGACCGCCTTCCTCCCCTGTCACCGGGCCACCCCGCACTCCTCTGCGGGGACACGGCGGGGAGGAACCCGCGGGTCTTTTCCAGCCTGAACATTCCATGATTTCACGGCTCTGCCGATGCCTGATGCGCTGCCCCAGCAGGGAAAGACCCCCTGCTCCCGGCTGGCCTCCCACCCCTCGCCACAACGAGACCTCTGCGCCGGTTCTGGGCTGGTTTTGGGCCGGTTCTGGGCTCGTTTCTGCGCCGGTTCTGGGCTCGTTCTGGGCCTGTTCTGGGCTGGTTTTGGGCCGATTCTGGGCTCGTTTCTGGGCTGGTTTTGGGCCGGTTCTGGGCTCGTTCTGGGCCTGTTCTGGGCTCGTTTCTGGGCTGCTTTTGGGCCGATTCTGGGCTCGTTTCTGGGCTGGTTTTGGGCCGGTTCTGGGTCGATTCTGGGCCGGTTCTGGCAGCCGAGCTCGGTCCTCCCTCCTCCTCCCCGTTCTCTGGCGGCTCCGGCACCGCTCGCCCCTGGTGTTACCTGCTGATGCTGGGGATGTATCCGCGCCCCCAGCTCAGGATTGTCCAGCGGACACTTACATTTAAGTGCTTTATGGTGCTTTTTAACTTTTTCTCCTCCAAATAGGGAGAAAACATCCCTCCCAGTGATTAACATGACCCACGCCTCCCCTGCCGGCCGCCCCTTCGGGCAGGCCGTGTTGAGGTTGTTGTGTGGGAGCCGAGGAAATCTCCCTCGCCCCTGTGCCGGGGGTGCCTCAGCCCGGTGCCCGGGGCGAGGCGGCGCCTCAGCCGCGCCTTCTCCGCCGCTCCTCCGCCCCTGAGCCGCCCCTTTCCCCGCCTACCGCCGCCTGGTCCGGCCGCCACCCGCGGGCTGCTCGGCCCGGGCTGGGCACGGCACGGCGCGGAGGGTCCCCGGCCCTGCCCGGCCCTGCCCGGCCCTGCCGAGCCCCGGGCCCCGCGCCCTGCGGCCCCCCGCGGGCCATGGCGGCCATCCAGAACCTGCAGCTGTGGTGCCGGCAGCAGTGCGAGGGCTACCGCGATGTCAGCATCACCAACATGACCACCTCGTTCCGCGACGGCCTCGCCTTCTGCGCCATCCTGCACCGACACCGCCCCGACCTCATGTGAGTACCGTGCCGGGCATCGAGGGCCGCGCCAGGGCTGCGGATCCCGTGGCATCTCTTTCCGCAGAGCCCATGCTGGGCTGTGCCCAGCCCGCCGTCCATCCTGCCGTCCATCCTGCCGTGGGTGTGCTGTGCCCCTCCCGCTGTCCACTGAGCTGCGCATGTGCTGTGCCCATCCTGCCATCCATCCTGCCATGGATGTGCTGTGCCCATCCTGCCATCCATCCTGCCATGGATGTGCTGTGCCCATCCTGCCATCCATCCTGCCATGGATGTGCTGTGCCCATCCTGCCATCCATCGAGTTGCAGACCCCAGATTCTCCATCGACCCAAGAACACTCTCCAAGCTGTGGCCATCCCGCTGTCTATCAAGTTGTGGATGGGTTGTGGCTGTCCTGCCATCCATTGAGCTGTGGATCCTGGTCTTCCACCTTCCCTGGGTTCTTGCCCTCCCTGTGGGCACATCACCAGCAGCATTCTGCTGACACCCACGCTGAGAATCTCCAAGAGAAAAGCTCCGCTCTCCCAGCCTACATGCTGGTTTTTTCCATACATTTTTCCTTTTTCCCTTTTCTCCCTCAGTAGCCGGATTATAAATGTTCCAAATGCGTCCTTTCCATTGCAAAACAAGTTCGGGCACTGATCTTTGGGGCAGCATTTCCTTCTTTGCTGCTGTGTTTGCTCTGGCTGGGCTCTCCTTGCTCAGCCCAACAGCAGCGCAGTGCTCACAAGTTGCAAGGCAAGGGCTATTTAAACAAACTGCAGTAAAAGGGCAGGGCCCCACAGCCTCTGGATTCCTGCACATCCTTGTTTTTCCCATCTAGAGCTCTGTCTGTAGGAGCTTAAGTGCTTTTCTTGCCTTGCTGGAGCCATTTCTGGTGCCCTGTGGGTTTTGAACTGTCCCTGCCCAAATGCTGACATTTGGGAAGGTGAATGGCCAAAGGGAGTCATAGATCCTGCTTCATAGCTGGGGTTTTTTGAGTTTAATTTTTTTTTCTTTTGGGCTCTTTGAGATGGTGGGATTGAGGGGGAAGATGAAGGCAAAAGAGCCCTGGAAAGAGTGCCCAGGAGTATCGATTTAAACATTAGGTCTCTCCTGGCCAGATGTGCCCAGCTGGGTGAGGAGCAGATTGGGTGGCCTGTACTGCAGTTTTCCTCCTGTCCTGTGTCTTCTCCCTTTTTCTTCATGCTCCCAGGACAGCCTGCCACATGGGTTTGTGTGCAGCCATCCCTCTTGCACGTGTCTTGCTTCTTGTTTTCTCCCCTCTGTTATCTTGAAACCTGACAGGAGCTGGAGCAGCCGTGGGCAGCAGGAGGTTGGTTCAGCAGCTCCAGACACAATTTGTTGTCCCAGAGCTTGCGCCGTCACCGTGGTGTTGCCATGTATGACTTCCTGACATGTTGTCATGTCCATGCTACTCCAAATATTTCCTTTCCTTCCTTTAATTCACAGTCCCAAAAATACAAAACACTGGGGCAGAAGGGTTGAGGTGTTCTCGTGGAGGGGCTGGGACTGCTTCCTGCAGCTGGTCCATCCGGAGCACAGGGGCTCAGCGATGTGGGAGCTGGGATAATCCTGTTGCCAAGTTTAGTGAGTTGTTTACAATGCTTGAACTGTGCAAAAAGTGTTTTGGATAGACATCTCTTAAAGAAATTTTCCTGTGCTGGAGAGGGAAGATGTTCCTTGAGGCATCTCTGTGTTCCCATTCATTTTTTTTATGGTGGACATTCTGCCTGACTTTATTTGGGACATCACAGAAGCTCTTCCTGACTCAGACCAGCTCAGCAAGGGCTGCCTGAAGGTTAAAGTAAGAGAAGCCTTTATTTGTCACCTCCTTCATCCGTGTCAGTGCTGTAATACAGGAAAGCACCACGTGTACCTACTGACTGGGCAAAGTCCTGCTGGAAGGAAATGGTGCCTTTGGGTGGTTGGTGGCCAGGGTTGCCGGGTTCCATGTGTCAGATCCTGGGGCAGAATACTTGTGCAGATTCTCCATGTATCCCAAAAAGCTTCTCTGAGTGTCCTTGGTGCAGGGTACAAAGGTGGAGAAGTGCAGCTGGGTGCATGTGTGACTGTCACTTCTGCTTCCCAGGGGTCCATCCTGGGCTCCTGTCCTTGCTTCTACCAAGGGTCCTAGTTAAAGATTAAAAACACCAGACTGAAAGTAAAACTAGAAAGGGATGTTTGATGTGTTTGCAGCAACTCTGCTGAATAGATCACTTGCAGAGTGATTCAGTCACAGCATCAGTTTTGCAACAGTGGGTTTTCTGTCTTGGTTTACACAAATTGCATTCTTGGGCTGAGTGCAGGGGATTTCTCCTGCAGGAGCCTGAAAAATGACCAGGAAAACTTCCAGCTCAAAATATGGATATAAACATGGGCTTGTCTTGTGAGGTATGTGGCTCAGAGGACAGGCTGGTGTGGGTCTCTCCTTCCTTCCTGTTTTCTTGCTGGAAAACAAATGGAAAATATGATAACTTCTCTCAAACTTAGCCAGTGTTGGCTTGTGTGTTACCAATGAACAGGGCAGGCTGTGTAAAATTAGAAATGCATTTCCCACTCACTTCCCACTCATGCAAGGATGCTTGGAGCGGTGAAGATCCATGCTGAATTCCCATGGAAATCCACTTCTTTTTTGTCCCGGATAAAGAGTGCTTCAGAGTCAGTCCCAGCTGGGCACACACGCTGTTTCAGGCAGGCTCCAGCCCTTTTTCTGGGGTGATTGTAGAGCCTGGGAACATCTCTTGTCAGAGGAACATGAAGCCTCATGGCAGCATGATAGGAGGCTGAGGTCAGCAGCTGCACATGTGGTGGTGAAGGTTGTGCAAGCCTCTGCCAGGATTTTAGTGGCCTTGTCCTGATAAATGAGTTAGAAGAGGCAGGGGAGCTGTGCACGCTCACTCAGATATTAATGCCAGATGTCAAGGAAAGGTTTTGATTAAGATCCTTCTCTTCATCCAGGATCTTGCTCTTTCCCAGACTGCGAGGTGGTGTTCTGGGAATGGGCTGGTGGTGAAATCCCCCTTGGCAGCTGAGCAGCAGCAGTGCTGTTTCCTCCAGCAGCATTTCCAGGTCAGTGTCAGCTGAGCAGGGCAGGGTGAGGTCACGCTGGCCCTGCTGGGGATGGGCTGTCAGCAGAAGGCTGGGGTGAAGCAGAGCTGCCTGCTTGGCTTGGTGGCTTTGTGGTTTGTGTGACAGGGCAGGATGGCTCAGGTTCATTTCAGCAGCATTCTGTCACATGGCAGTGTGGAGCAGGCATTCCTGAGAGGAGGATAAGCACATGGGGGACATCTCCCTCCTGGAATTCCCAGCCTTGTCCCACCTCCCTGGCTTTGCATCTCCAGAAAGAGCACAGCTGAAAGGCTCCCAGCAGGGCATGCTGGATTGGAGCCCCCTGTCCAAGGCTTTGGGCTGGCAAAGGCTGCCTCACTCTTACAGTGATCCTTTTGACTGCACATCTTATTGTCTGTAGAGAAAGTAGCACAAAAATGCCAAAAAGCAGAAACTTTTTTGGTGCCATTGAGGCTCTGGGATTTTTTTTTTGCTCAGTCTGCTCCAAGGTCAAGTTTCCAATCAAGTTGGTGCTTGCAGCAGCAGAGATTCCTCCTGTGGAAGCACATGTGTTTGCAGAGGACTGTGGCATGTTTGTGAGTGCTGGGTCTGTGCAGCTGGAGCAGGGGGTGCTCACAGAGATTTGTGGGCATGAGAAATGCTCACCCACTTATTTGCTAAGGGAAGGGGTTTTTTTCAGAGCTAAAAACTTCTCCTGTTTTAAAACAGGAATAAAATTATTCCTGTGCTTGTGAACTCCACTCTGATTTGTTTCCAACACTGGAGGCCTCTCTTGGGTCACATTTATATTTTTCACATTTTCCAATTAATTCAGTTGCCTGTGTTTTCTCAGTGGAGAACTCCTACTTCTCTGTTTGTATTACCTTTGCTGTCTTAGGATTACATTGGTCCAGAGAGCTTTGATATTCCAAGATATGAGATGCACCAGCAAGATCAATTTCCAAAAGAAATATTAGATGTAATCAGTTCACCTGACTAGCCAGGGAAAGAATGATGCTGAGAGGTCAGGGGACTCTTGAAATGACCAAATAACCTGGTTGTTTGCACTTTCTTTTGAGGACTAGAAGGGGATTTGAGACATTCACCATCAAAAGATTGGGGTTTTTAGGTCTCTGCTGCATGCCAGGGTGTGCACACACCACCACAGCAAACAGTGTTGAGTGTGGCTAAGGCCACTGACTGACAATAAATAGTAATTCCAATGTCTTACATGTCAGAATGACCAAGGAAGCTGGAGCTCCTCTTTGTTCTTGCAGTGTTTTGCTGCATTTCCATGCTACAGAGATTGCTTGGGAGCACAACTGGGAGTGAGGCAAAGTTCTGATATCACCTCCTTCAGCTGGGTCTTTAAAAAAGCCAGTTTTCTGGCCTAACTTAACCCAAGGATGCTTGTATCTATTGTTTCACTGAGACTTTTTTGGCACATGATTATTTTTGTTGCTCTTTTTAATCCATTGTCTCAGGGAAGGGAAATCTTTGGGCAGGAGCACTGCTTGAAGAAAAACCTCTGCAATTCCCTTTGATTTTGCACAGGAAGGACTCTGTGGTTCAGAGGTGGGATGTGCCTTGTCTTTACGTGCTCCTTGGGGGAGTTTAACCACCTCAGGGTCTTATCTGTCATTCCTCCTCTCCTTATCCCACGTAGCAATACCAGATGTGGGAAGCAGGGAGGAGGCATAGGCTGTGGCATGATGAGTGAGCCTGTTTAAGGTTCCTCTCTTATTTATGATGTAATGCTCCACTTTCTGTGCTGAGTAGATAAAGGACCTGGCTTGCTCCTTGCTGTTCCAAGCAGTGGAAAAAGTTCCCCTGCTGCGATACAGATCATATGTTTCTCTCATGAATAGGGTGCTGTGAGCCAGCTTTGCCTTGGCTCTCAGAGTTACCCTGTCTCATCCCAGAGGAGAGGGATGGGCTGAGAATGTGAGTCCACACTGGGGATAAAGGTGCTACATACAAGGAATGCAGAGCTGGTGCTGTTTTCTGTTTATCATTGAGAAATCCCTCTCAGGTGTCAGCCTCTCGCTCAGCTCTGTGCCAGCAGACACAAGGATTGGAAGGTGAAACGGGGTTATCAGAAAGGGATTGACCCTGCCAACTTGCCTGGGCAGGAGGAAGCAGTGTTGGAGAGCAGGGCTGCCAGCCAGCAGCCAGTTTTGTATTCCCTGTTTAGCAAGTGGCAGTCAGTTTAAAACAAAGCTGATGGTGCTGTTTCCTAAGCAAGGGACTGAGGGAGCACGTCCAGAGGGCTCTACCTGCAGCAGCACAAACTCTGCCCTGTGCTTTATCCCTGTCCCAGCACATCCCAGGTTCTCAGTTCACAGCACAGTGCAGGGAATGTGGTATCTGGGTTGGACCAGGGAGAGGGAATGCAAATCTGGGGAGAGGTGAAGAGGGAAGTGATGTCTGGAGACAGCAGAAAGGAGTTGTTGACTTTGGCTTGGATTTGTGAACAATAATTGTCACTTCCTTTTCAGTTACTGATTATGAGCACAAATCAAAAGTTACAGCCCTAGGGAAAGCAGACTAAAATTTCTACTGGCAACTTTGGTGTTATCAGATGCAGTATGGTGTGGGCAGAGGTTTTCCCAGGCAGATCCCTGGTGCTGGTTTTGTGGAGTTCTGCCAGAGGAAAAAAGAAGATTTGAAGCCAGAACTCATGTGCTGCTGGACCCAGGAGCTTCTGAGATCAGAGCATGTGGGTGTGTTGGAAAAGCATGTGATATGTGCAGTGTGTGAGGGATCCATGAGAGACCTCCTTGGAGCTGAGCTCTCTCTGTGTGGAGACAACTTTCAAGGCAGGAGAAGAACATGGAAAGTACTTTCAGGGAGAGTGTTCATACCTGGCCAGCAGGTATTGGTGTGTCTCTTTGAGGTGGGAGGGAAGCAAGGCTTTTCTGGGGGACAAGAAACCACCCCATGAATTAGAGGTTGCTCCTGGCTGTCTCAGCAGAACCCTTCAATGTGCCTGGGATGTTTTTGCACCGGCATGTCCTGTCCACAGGCAGCTGTGGGAGTCAGCCCTGCAAAGGCAGATGTGCCCTTGTGCTGCCCGTGGGCAGATGCTGTGCCTGCTGCACGTCCCTGTCCTGGGTACAGCAGGTCTGAGACTCTCAGGTGGGATCTGCCATCTGCCCAGGGGTGGATGGGGTGCTCTGTCCCCTGAGCCAGAGCTGGAAGGAGAGCAGCTCACGCTACATCACCAACCTGAGATTTTTCCTCTTTTTGTATTTCAGAAACTTCGACTCCCTCAGAAAAGAAAATGTGTACGAGAACAACAAGTTGGTAAGTGGCTTTAATGTTTACTTTTGGTCTAGTCTGTGACCTGGCACTTTGCTCATGGGATTTAGCATGAAACCCTGCAGACACAGTGTGCCCATTGTGCTGTGTTCCAATCCTTTGCCTTCTTCTGCACCTTCCAGCCTTCTCCTCTGAGCAGCAATGTCCAGCCTGGCTGGCTGCTGCAAGCACCTTCAGGCTGTTCACTCTTCTTAGCTGGCCACACAGTGATGCCTGTTCCCAGTGTGTCCTGTGGCAGCAGGAGCTCAGACAGAGCTGCTAGAGCTCAAAACATGGACATGTTGAGTATGTGATGCTCCTGAGGGGTGGAGCAGGAGCTGGGAAAAAGCTGGTGTGAGGGGAAGCACAGGGAGTGTCCTCCCACTTCTGTTCCTTCCTGCTGCAGAGGATCAAGGTAGATACATCCTAACACCTGTCTGGATGCTGCCTGGACACTTCACTCCAGCCTGGTATTGGAGTTTCTCATGTTCTTTCCCTAAAGAAAATAGAAGTTGGGCAGGCCAACCCCCTCCTGCACTGGATTCTTGCATGGTCTTAGTGATCCAAGGAAGGATTTTCCTCTCCCTCTCTCCTTTTCAAAAGGAGAGGCAGTGAATTATAACACCTCTCTTCCCCTGGCATTGCTCCACGCAGTTTCATGGCTGCTTGACAGGAGCTTGGGGTATGAATGAGCCATGGCAGCTTACCCTTGTCTGGGCTGGGGGAGTGACACACTCTCAGGCAGTGAGCTGGCTGAAGTGCTTCTTGCCTCTGGAAGAGCTCAACCTGTCCCCTCATAGCTCCTTAGCTTCTGCTGCCCTTCATCCCTGGCATGTCCACAGCTCCCATCACAGACCCTCCGCCCCAGGCTGGGGCTGCAGCCTGTGAGGGGTTAGTGACACTCTGGGGCTCAGCCCCGTGTGTTCCTCTCCTCAAGGGGAGATTCAGACCCTGCATTTTGCCCTGCAGGTTTGGTGTTTGGCAGGAGTTGGGGCCTCTTCTCCATGGAAGCGTATTTTGGCTGAGTGCTGAGGATCCCTGAGTGTTGCTCCTTGTCCAGCTGGGCTGCTGGTGTCTGCTTGTGTCTGGGAAATGAGCTCTGCGAGCTGCCTCTGCTGCTTTTATTAATGAAAAGCTTCTTTGTGCTTCTCATAAAGAGTTGCTCCCCTCCTTTGTTGCAGTCTGTGTGTCCCCTCCTCCCCCTTTCTGAGTTTCTTTTATGTCCTTTGTTTTGCTCTCTCTTCCTCACTCCACCTGCTGTGGGATGACTTGTCTGTGTTGTCCTTTCCCTGCTGGTGTCCTGCTGCCTTGGCTGTGCTGTCTGTGGGATTGCCCCTCCACCCCTCTGTGCTCCTGGGCTGGCCTCCCCCTTGGGCTGCTCTCCATCCCAGCTCCTACACTTCCTTGCTCTGGCTATCCTTGGGATACAAGTGGGTCTGACTTCTTCTAGAATTATTTCTCTGCTATTGTCCAGACCCTCCTTGATGCCTTACTCGTATGAGGTTTCTGTTCAAGGGCTGTATTGTGTATGTAAAAAAACCTTGTTTCAGCTGCAATTTGCCTTATAAAGTCATCTGTCAAAGAAGAATGTGTCACTTCTCGTGTGCCACAAGACCAACCCCAAACCCTAGAAAAATTTCAGTTGGCATTTTTTACTAGAGATTTCAAAAACATATAAAAAGGAGGAAAGTTTCTAGAGGCCCTGGAGTCAGTGCTGGTGGATGGTGGTGTGGTGTGCCAGAGGGAACCTGTGCCAGGCCAGCTCAGGTGGCCTCAAGCATATCACTTTCCCATTTTGCATGGACATGGCAGCAGTGGCACTTTCTTCCCCTGGAAAGCACTTGGAGCTGCACTGATGAAAACCATGATGCAAAAACAACCTGTGGGTCCTTTAAAGGGCAGCCTGGGCAGCAGGCAGAGGAGGAGGGTGACAGGGTCCTGTCAGCTGCTGATCCTCTTGGGTCTCCTGGCAAGAGCAGCTCCCAGGAGCACGAGGATGCTGCAGGCACAGGGGACACCACGGTGCTCTCTGCATTGCCCACCTGGCTCTGGCCAAAGCAGGTGGGTGCCCAGAGCATCCTCCTCTCTGTGGTCCAGGCAGCCCCTAGCTCGTGTTCCGTGCCCGCTGTCACCCGTGGCGCGGCGTGGCAGGAAGTGGCATGACCTCTGTTCCCACTAAACCTCACACCAGGAATGTCCAGCAAGAAAACTCGACTGGTCAGACCAGTTGTGCAGCCAGTGCAGTGGGGAGCACTCCAAAGAATGCATTAAGTACCACTTTGCAAGACAGGAAAGTGCCAGGCTGGGCTGGCAGCTGGGGTGACACAGCCGGTGGTGACTGGCTGAAAGCATTTTTAATGTCAGCTCTGTTACATTTTTACTGGGATACCCAATGGAAAAAAATGGTAATTATCTTGCTGAAAAATAGTGGTTGTTTGTTTCTTCTAAGCAGAAATGGTTGGCTTGTACACCAACGCTGTGTGTGTCCGTGCCAGAGGTCAAATGCGGAGAGGTTTAATATATTCAAGGGGGTTTTTTAACCCTTTCACTGTGGATTTTAGCACTAGCCTTCCTTGTGCCTCTGGTCCTGCAAGTGCTATTTTCCTTTGCTGTGTTGGCATTTCAACAGGGATGCTCCAAAGGGGGAGAAAAAGGATTTTTTTCCCTTAAGTTGGGAAGGAACAAGGCTGGAGGATGTCTTTAGTGAAAGCCCTAAGCTGAGCTGGGCAAGGGTGAAGTTTGGTTGTTGCAGTTTTTTTTCTATTCTACTAAAGGCTTTTTTCAGAGGCAAGAGAAAATAGCTTTTGCCTCCTTTACCTGCAGTTTCAAAGCAGAGGACACCAGAAAGAGGAATATTTACCCCAAATACATTTTAGGCAGCATGGAAACAGTTAAACTGGAAGGGAGCTATGTATCAGGAATTTTTCTGCATTACACCTCTTTTCCCCCTTTCTGCTCTGGGAGAGCAGGGTCCCTCCTGCAGCCCAATTTTCAGATGGAGAAGAGCAGGCAGTAGGAGGCAGGAAGCTTTAGCACAGCACTCAGAGATGAAAGCTGCCTGCAAGCACCTACCAGCCCACCGTTAATTGGGGAGAGCTCCAGGTTGGGCTGGGAGCCTGGAAACAGCTCTGCCAGCCTGGACTGACACATCCCCTTCTGCCAGGCTTCCTCTCTGCAGCTGTGCACTCACACACACAGGCAGGCTGCAGGAGGAGCAAGGCAAGCCCAGGTGAGTTACTGTGCACTGAGCTATGGCCAGCTTGCCAGGCCAGATTTTTGGCTCCTTGCCTGGATTTCTCAAGGCAGTGGCTGGAAGCCATGACTCCGTTGGTTCCTATGATGCAGGAGTTAAACTGGTGCAGCTGTTCCCCAACAGAGTTATTTTTATTTGAGTGGGGCTGTTTGCAGTGCACTTTCTTACTTCTGATGAGGAGCAGCTCTGCTGCCTGGCATGGATAAGACCCCTCTATTTTTTTTTTATTTTTTTTTTCCCTTCTCCAGGCATTTCGGGTGGCAGAGGAGGAGCTGGGGATCCCAGCCTTGCTGGATGCAGAGGATATGGTTGCTCTGAAGGTACCAGACAGGCTGAGCATCCTCACCTACGTTTCCCAGTATTATAACTACTTCCATGGACGGTCTCCTAGTAAGTACCATATTCCCTGGAGGGCTGGGAAGGATCAGGGCTTCATTTCATGCTTTCCCTTGCCTCCTGACAAGCTTGGGAAAAGCAAAATAAACTGCACAGAGGCTTTTTTGGTACCAGAACTGTTTCACTGGTGGGGGTCTGAACTCTTTGCACACCAGCCTACTGTTGCACCTGTGCTTTTGGAAGGGTACAGGGCCATGTCTTGTCTTTGAAACTACTGCCTTAAAATTTAAAAGACATTCTGAAATTTTTTATGGTCCACCAAGAGAAGAGCACTGAAGGTTCCTCTCCATGACCCCCACCTCAGCTTTCCATTCTTGAGCACCTCCACCCCTGTTGCAGTCTTTGCCACTCCTGAGGGCTGGTGAGAACAGGGAGTAGAACAAGGCTGAGCTTGTCTGTGAGGCTGTGCCAATGTGACAGCATCAGTGGTAGGGCTTGTACAGCACAGCAGCACTGAGGGAAGGAAGGAGAAGAAAATTATCACCCTAACTGACATAATTGTGATAGAAACTCTGTCAAACATAAAACAGAGCTGCCAAGGCATTATATTCATGTACTGGAGAGTTTAGCTGGGCTCACAGGAGCATTATTGTAGTCTTGGTTTATATTTGGCTTTAAGCTCACACAAAATGAAGTAATATGATGAACCAATTTTACAGGTTCCTCCAGAGGAAACTTTCTAAAGTGGGACATGAATGACTTAACTGGTTAAGGTGAATGTAAATGAAAATGTATTTAAAATGTCCTACATTCTGGAAAGAAAGCACAATTCACTCAGAGCTGCCTTTAATGTTTAAACTCTTCCTACTTCTCCACCTCTTTACACATTTAAGCATGCTTTTTCTCTCCCTCCACAACTTCTTCCCTCCTCCTCTTCACTTTTTATTTCTTATTTTAAAACTGTTCTGATTGAAATCAAACAAATCCCATCATTTTTATGCCAAGTGGTGAGAATCTGGGTCAGGCTGGGGTCTTTGCCCCCTCCCCCCTGCATCTTGTCTACCAAGCACAGCACATTTTTATACTCCCACAGTGTCCCTCAAAACACTTTGGTTGCATTCCTGTTGCTGGGGTGAATGTGAATGTCTGAAAATGAGCCCAGCCTGGAATGTGCCCTTTGACACCGAGCAGAGCCGTGGACTCACAGTCGTGCCCTTCAAGGGGTTCCAGCAGGACCATGAAACAAGCAGGGCACAGGAGGGCAGAGAGGGAGAGCAGGCAAGGTTTTAGTCAGGTCATGCTTTTGTGGACGAGCAGAATTGAAGCCACCCATCTTTGTGCTGGGCTTTGGGAATTCAGAAAGTGGCACAAATGGGAAGTGAGGGGCAGTGTGAGCCTGAGCTGTGTGCTGGGTCAGCTGTCCCCTGCTCCCTGCAGTGGAGTCCTGGGTGTTTATTTGGAGAGTTGGCTTTCTTGAGGGCAGACTGCTGGGAACTGGGCTCTCTCCCTGCTCCCTGCCCTTTCTGTGTTTACTGAGCAGGGTATAATCTCTTTTCAGATGAGTGGCCATTTAAATGTCACTTAGAAAGTGAAGCTGTGACTCAAATATCCCACAAGGAACACAGAGACATCTCATTCAGAATAGGAAGTGGTGCAAGAATAACATCCCTGTGAGGCACTTGGGGTTTGTGTCTGTAAAAACTTTGCACAAAGCCTTATTTCCCAGGGAAGTTTCCCTGCACTTCCCAGGGCACAGGGCACCATTTCCTGCTTGACTGAAGTGTGTTGGAGATTCTCTTTTCTCCACTTGTAGTGAATTTTGAGTGGTTCTATTTCATCTGCAAAGAAAAGGGAATTGGGCATTTTCAGGCTGCTTGTGGCAATTCTTGGTTTCCACATCAGCACCTCTATGGCACCTCCAAATCTTTGCAGAATTACCCATTTTTAGTGGTCATTCCCACGTTCAACAAGGCTGTTTGCTCTGTGGGAGTCCCAGCTGGGATGTGGGGTGGACACTTGCAGCAGTGAATGTTCAGGCTGTGTAGGAAGTCTGGAGCACAACAACTTGAATGAAGCAAACCCTCTGTTTGCAAACCCTTCAGCTCCTTAGCCATGACACCTCTGCCTGTTCCAGCAGGGCCTGTTTCAGTTAGGATCAGTTCCAACCAAACCATGGGAATTGAAAATCCAAGGTCTTGTTCTCACCATCGATGGATGGTGATTTGCATTTCTTCACTTTTGCATTTCTCTTAATGAAATTCCCTGAGAAGAGAAAAATCAGCAGTTTCAGAATGTTGTTACAATTCACTTGTTGCCTCTTGCCCCTCAGTCCAGTACAGAACTGCTCATGAAGGAAGTCTGTGTCTCCTTGTGTGCTTTTCATGTTACCCATCAGGCACCTCTGGAAATTCTTTGTAAATTACTGCTAAACCTGTGAGTTTTCCTTGTGTTTCCTTAAAAATATTCCCTTCTTCCATTCTTCCAGTTGGAGGCATGGCTGGCATCAAGCGTCCTCCCTCTGAATCTCCAGAGCAGCATCCTGGGAAGAAATCTGCTCCAGAGCCTCCTAAGCCAGTGCCACCAAAACTGCCTGCTGCCCACCCACCAGCCAGAGCTAAGCCAAAGGAAACCTCCCCAGTTACCACGGTAAGAAATGTGGCTTTTGGGTGTTCTTTATACCTTAAATATGTCCAGTGAGATGGAGAGTACTGGGCTAGTTCAAGGCTCCTGCTGGTAAGGATTTAGTCCCTAAATTTTCTGTTCTCTATGAGTGATTTAATCCAGAGGTCTGATCCTGTCATAGGTTGAGGTGGGAGTCACTGGAAAACCATCAGTCAGCCTGGATACATGGTGAACAGGATGGGGGTGTCTTAGGACATGGATATTTGGGATGGAGATTTTTACAGGATGTAGTGTTATTTTTGCTAGAAAACATTGATCCAATTATTGGATACAGTTTCAAAGCAGGGTAGGGATGAAAAGAAGGTAGAAGCCCTTTCCCAGCTAATTTAAATCAGAGACCTTTGCCTATAGGCAGACAGGGCACCCTGGTCCTCTTGTTTTGAGGGAACATATTCCCCATGCTCTGTCCTTCCAAGGCCTGTGCCACTTCTGTGACAAAGGGATTAGAGGGAGAGGGGATTTCCTGGATGTCACTCCTCTGTCCTGGCTGTGCATTCCAAACACTCGCCTTCTTGGGAGATTTGTAGCTGTGTCCAGGGCCATGGTCTTGTCTGCTCAGCCTCTGCTTCTCCCCACAGAAGAGGGTCCTGGCAGAGAGTGGGAATGTCCCCAGCAGCAGCTGTGGGGTCTGTGGCAAACACGTGCACCTGGTGCAGCGCTACTTGGTCGATGGGAAGCTCTACCACAGGAACTGCTTCAGGTACAGCAGCTCTTCAAGGCAGGGGCACAGCCCTGGGGGTCACAGAGGGCCAGCCTGCTTCTTTGGGACTGGAGAGAGTGGTGTGGCACATTTCATTCAGAGTGGAGGCAATCTGGGCTTGCTCTTGACCTGTGTGTAAGGGAAGCTGTCTCCACAGGTCTGTTTTCATCTACACCTCTCCTGCCTCAGGCTGTGCCATCAACAGCCCTTGTTCTGATGCCTGAGGAGTGTGCACACAGGGTCTGCTCACTGCCAGTGTGGTGCCTTCACCCTCCTGTGGATGGTGGAGTCGTGCCTGCACTCCCAGCTGTGTGTCTCCCAGCACTCTGGAGGATGTTTCCTGAGACTTTTGTATCCACAGGTGCAGGCAGTGTTGGAACTTGCTTCTTCCTGGAAGCTACAAAGCTGGGCCTGAGCCCGGAACGTTCATCTGTACCAGCCACCAGCAGCCAGACAGTGTCCAGATCTCTGGTCTCCACAGTACTGGGAAAAAGCCTGACAGTACCCCAGCCCCTGCTGCTGCCAGGGTGTTCCAGAAAGCAGCAGAACCCAAGAAACCAGAGCAGGTGTTGAAGAAACCCAGCCAGGAGGGCCTCACTAATTCAACCAAGCCATCTGTTTCATCTTCTGGAAGCTCTGGCTTCAAAAGTGTAAATACTCCATGGTCCTCCTCAGCTGTAAATAAATCAGATGACTGCAAAGGTGCCTCGTTGGGGAATAAAACAGATCCCCATGAAGGCACCCCATCAAAGCCTCCTTGGACATCCTCCACAACAAAGACACAGCAAGCCCGAGAAAACTTTTTTCGCTCTTTTGAATCCTCCAGCAATAAATCTTCTGAGACTCAAAAACAAGTCCAGTCTCCTCATGGCCCTGATAAAAGTGCCCCTGCCAGAACCACTGCAGAGGTCAGTCGAGTGAATGCTGGGAAGGATCAGGCACGTAACCATATTATACAGGCCCTGTCTGCATCAGGCACTTCTCCAAGCAGGCCAGGAGGACTCAGTGCCACTGGCTCCTCAGCACCTGGCAGGTAAGCACTATTTCTCTTTCCCTTTTTACTGCCAAGATTTTCCTTGGGATAATTTGAGAAGCCCCTGCATCTTTCTTTGCTTTGTCCTGACTGCTCTTGTGGCTCAGTTTTAAAGGCATGTAGAGGGACACATACAAATCATTGGAACAGAGGAAAAAAAAAGGTCCATCCTTTCAAAAAGACTCATTAAGTTGTTCTTTTTTGCAGTGGCAAGTTTTCTCCCACCAGTTCTCAGAGTCCAGGTCCAAAAACACAGTCCAGCAAAACAGGGTACCCAGCACCAAAGCAGGACAAGATTACAGACCCTGTGCCCAAGAGCCAGGCTGCCAGCAAACCTGTTGACTCTTTGCACAAGCCAGAGTCAAAAGGCACCAAAGGTGAGGATGAATGATTCACACAGTTCTGCTGGACACAGCACTCCAACTTTATGCCTTCCTCTTGGACCAGTATAGCAAATGTGTCCTGTCCTTTGTGTCTGTGTTTCCTGAGCTGTGGGGCTCAACATTCCTCCCTGTGTGCACTATCCCTGTGCAATTGCTCCCTCTAGCATGGTGAGCTCTACTACTCTGAGGATCTCCAGGTATTTGAAGTTGTACTTGCTGTCATCAAACACTGGGATCATGGTGGCTTTCAAAGGATCAGGTTTTCTCAGATGGGAGACCTTGCCAGAGCTTTGGGATGGTTTTTTATTGCAGTTGCAGGTCACCCAGCCTCCTTGTCTGTTTTGTACCAAGTTTCCATCATGGTGACTTTGCAGCAGGCCAGGGGATGATATCTGGGGGTTCCCAGTGTCCCAGGCACTTTCAGGTGGCTGGTATTTTTTGGGCCAGAAGAACTGTCTTTCGCAGTTTGCTGTGACTTTGTGGGGCTTTTTGTCTCTCCCTCTTCCTGCCCCAGCCTTTGGTCTCTGAGATCTGAGCTGTTTGTGTTGTATTGCTGTTGAAGGTGCCTATCCATGTACTCTGTGGCTGAATTTCTGTAACTGTGTAGGTTTTAAAGCATTTCATCTGAAAGACAAAATGCCACTGAGATTACCTACTGCCTATTGTATCTGAATGTGTCCATGTTAAACTTGTTGAGCTGGTGCTGGTTTGCTGCAATAACATCACAGTACCTACCCCAGTGCATGCCTTATCTCCTAGAATTCTCCTGAGACTCAAATCTGGCTTGTTTCTTTTTATTGGATGTTTTTGTTCTTCTGTATTTTTATTTACCTTGCTATGTTCTTTTCTTCAGGAAGCACAAATGTTGCTGACAACAAGTCTGAGAGCCCAGAAGGGTGGAGATCTCGCTTGAAGCCTGTGGCCAACAAGTGAGTGTCAGGCAGGTGGTGGATTTCCATGACAAATGTGACCATCCCAGGTGGAGATCCACACCAGGATGTCCAGAACTTTGCCTGTGGACCATTCTCCATGAGGGATTTTTCCTACCTTTGTCTTTTTCCTTTGCAGGGACCAAGATGGCTCTAAGAAACCTACTGATAACTCCCAGGTGGCAACAGGGAGCCCAGCACACAAGGAGCCAAAGCCAAGCCCATTAGTTGTCCCACCAGCAAAGCAGGACTCTGGTATGGAGGATAAAAGCTTTGCCTTCATTTTGCTGATCAGGAAGGGGCCAGGCATTGGTACTGCAAGGCTCAAGTGAGGAGTGTGTTGGTGGAGAATGTGCCTTGCTTTCAGGGATCTTTGCTTTCTGCATCTGCTTTAGCCATGTGGTGCCTTTATTTTGTGCCTTTGGGGGGTGGCCTTGCATCCTTCCCCAGGGAGAGGGACTCAGTATCTATAGGGTTCCCTTCTTCTGCAAGACAGCCAGCAAGATTCCACTTACTCTCTCTTGCATGATTGTATAATGTTGAGAAATCTTAGTGATGGTTCCCAGCTGTTTATTCTCCTCCCAAATGTTTATTCTCCTCTTACTCTGGCCTTGTAATGAGTGTTTTTTCCCCTGTTTACTTTGGGCTTATGCCCTTCATTATCATCAAGAGAGGAGGACTAGGACTAGAAGTGGAGTTTGGTAGTGGTGACTGCCAGAGACATTGGGCATTAAAGGGATTTTTATGAGATAAGGGTTGAAATTTCTTACCTAAAATCTGTCTGTGCTTCTTAATCCAGCTTCATCTGGTGGATTCACAAAGAAGTTGTTGATTCCCAGCTCGGATCTTATCAGGAGCTGTCAGAATTCAAAGCAAGACTGGAAAGACCCTGGAGGGTCTGCCAAGAAGGAAGAAGATGGCAACCAGTTGAAAACAAGCACTGCTACATGTAAGATCTCTTCTGCCTACCAAAGCCACTCTCTCCCCTGCACTGTCAGGAACATGGGTTATGTGGCCCATAGTTTTCTGTGACTAACCCTCTGGCTGCTGTCATGGGGGCAGAGCCTGTGTAATTGATTTTTATTAGCCAACTTGGCCTGAGCAGGAAGCAGCAAGGCCAGAGAATTCAGTGGGAAAGGAAGAAATTGAAATAGGAATTTTCAAGGTCCCTGCCCTGTCATTGTTTAGACTTAGTGCTATGAAGAGGACCATCTCCTAATTTGGGGAACTGGGATCTAGTTGATGTCTCTGTTCCTCTTCAGCTGAGAGGCTTTAGGAAATAAAAGGAATGCAGAGAAGTGTCATCCAGAGACTCCAGCTGGCAGGAACCACAGGAGCAGGAGCCAAGGCTGCTGTTTCTTTGATTTTCAAAGATGTCCTGTCCAGTTTGTCCCTACTCTTAATCCAGTTTCTTACTCCTGTTTGTTCAGCCACAGCTTTACTGTGCACCTCTCTTCCAGTGCCCAGTTATCCTTTCTCTGACATATCCCACCACGATGCTGAGGACATTTTCTGGAACTAACCTGATGTTTGCTGCTGTCCTGTTTGCTCAGCTTCTTCATCTCCCCATTCCTTGCCCCATCTTGCTGTGTCTTACCTGTCTGAAGTAGGAAATTCACACAGCAGGGCTCAGTCCTGCCCCTGATGTTTGTCTTGGAGCAAGCAGGATGGGTCCTGATGGCTCAATGGCCTCATGCCTTACTTTTTGTCAGCTGGTTCCAGCATTGTCCTTAGCCAGCACCTTTGACAGCTGCCAAACATTCAATCTCCAGTTGTGTTGTCTTTTTTTAAAAGTTTGGTGTGCCTCCTTTGCCAGCATTTTCCCAAAAACTTCCCACCTCCTCTTTCCTCAGACTCAGCCCCAGGGTTCAGCACTAGTCTCTCCCAAGAAGTGAGCTGTTAAGATAAGGGAGGCTGGCTTTATATCTGTCTTTCTAAAGGTTAGTGATTGCCATGGGGGAGGGCCATTGGGAAATTTTCCTGGCAGTCTCCCCCCACTTTTCCCCAGCTGAAAGGCTGGTTCCTGCTGCTGTCACTGGGCAGGCTGTGGGTTAGGGACAGAGCTGCTGCTGTTCTGTGTAGGTTTTTACCTCAGCACTCAGAGAGAGCTGTGAACAGCCAGCTGTTGTTCCTGCCCTCAGTCCTGGGGTTGTGTGGAGCTGTGGGTGGTGAGCATTTCTGTAGATCATTCATTTTCTTTGGTGGTAGGTGGTGTTTTCTGTTGAGAAAGGAGACTCCAGGGTTTTCCTGCCAACTGTCCTACTTCCAGCTTGCTGGCAAGCAGCCAACCCCTCCTGTGTCTGTCAAGCCACAACCTGAGGGTATCAGGGGATATCGGATCCTGAGCTGGTCACAGGGTGTCATTTTACAGGCTCTTCCCCTGCAGTGACCCTGGCCTTCTCTCCATCAGGGGTGCAGCTTTCTGCCGTGGTTGGAGGTGCTGCAGAGGCCACCTGGAAGGAGCCCAGATGCAGGACTGAGCTGGGAGAGGGAAGTGTTGTTTAGGCAGACAGCTCGAGGCAGGACAAGTCCCTCTTGGAGGAATCTTTAGGAGAAGTGTGAGTTGCAGGCAGTGCACAGGCAGCAGCATCCAGAGGGAAGAGATCCCTGACAGAGCCCAGCAGTGCAGGAACAGCACAGCCACATCCAGCATCTTCTCTCTTTGCAATCCTTCTAGAAAGCACAACAGAGCAAGGGCTGGGCACTGGAGAGCTGTCCTTGAGCTCTTCCTCAATCTCCAGAGAGTCTCAGGAGGCTCCCCTAGTCTGTCTGTCCTGTCCTTCTGCTTGTGTGTGCTGAGCCTGCATTGCTGCTGCCTTTGTTACAGCCCTGCTCTTTTGATAGCAGAGTTTTCCTTCCTTATCACATCATCCACTCACGCCTCTGTTCTCTCTCTGTGGTAATTATCCAGCCCAGCCCCTCGGGTATCCAAATACCTCACACTCTTCTGTAGTTATCCTTGCAGCACAGTTGGGCAGAGGAAGCTGAGGCACAGTGGAACAAATACACATTGCTTAAGGATTGATTTTAATAGGTGTCCAGAGCCTAAATAATGCTGTGTAGTGGGGCCTAGGGGACTTCTCACCTAGGAAGTGTTTTGTGGGAGGAATTGAACCTTAGTTTCCTGAGATCTACACTGAGGTCCCCTAGACCATCTTTGTTTCATCAGTATTTACTGATACTCCTTTGTGAAAGAGCACTAGAGGGACATTTTTGTATGTGTTTGCTGTGACAGTAACTCTGTCTTTCTGTGCTGTCCTCGGGAACCTTAATAAGGAATGGATTTTGCCACAACAAATATCTTTGGGTTTTAACAAGATAGTCAATGAACATGCAAGTCAGTATTCTTGGGTGGAAGTTCCAAAGTTACACCTGAACTCGGTGACTGTTTATACCCTGGGGTTGAAAGCAGCAACCTGTGACCTGAGTGACAAGGCACAAGGAGTAAATCAGGCTGTGAGGATATGTCTCTTACTTTGCTCAGGCACCTGGGTGCATGTGTATCATCTGTGACCTCTCTTGAGTAGCTGGGACCTGTTGTGCTCTGGTGGTATAGGCACTGTCCCACACCATAAAATTATTTAAAGGTTGTTGTGACTTTTTTTTCTCCCTTCTAGTTAAAGTCACTGTTCCAAAAAGCAAAGGGAAGCTTCAAGTGGTGTCCCCAACCAAGGTATGGCTGGAAACCAGGTGTAAGGGGAGCAGGCTGGGGTGGTTAAATATCCTTCTAGAGTGCTTATCCCCATATATCTAAGTTTGTCTTATTGGGAGGGTTTATTTGGATACCCAGGGAAAGGGTGAAAGGCTCTGGGGCAGAGACCAGTTGGAAAGCTGCTGGTTATCTTCATACAGGGAGACAATCAGAGCTGGAATGAGACAGAGCCAAACAAAACTGTGGTAGAGATTCATTCCCCACAGAAGGAGGGAGAATGTCTGCAGACTGACAGGTGTGGGGGGAGTTGCCACTGACTGCAGATGCGTCACAGCCTTGCAGTGGCCAGTGCTCTGTTGTGAGCAGCCAGCTCTGCCCTCTGCTGACCTGGCCCTCCCAGGCTGTGGCTCTGTGGCTGGGCTCCTTGTGCCCTTTCCCATCTCTGCTGTGACCTCAGCAGGCAGTCTCAGGGTTGCTGAGCTGTGTCTGATCTTACATTTTTTTTTCCCTAGCTGCACCCAGACTACCTCCCTGAGGAGAAAATTCAGGAGAAGGTTTGTGAGATCGAGAAGCAGCTGGACGAGCTGGAGCTGAAAGGAGTGGATCTGGAGAAGCAGCTGCGTGCCTGCGAGGGAGGTGAGGGAGCCCTGCTGCCAGCTCTGCTCTGCTGGGGAGGTTGGGGCTCATGTCCTACCCCTGGGCACTCTTGGCTCCATTTTTAGGAGCTCAGGCCACATGTGAGTCACCAGGTTGCCAGAGGTACCTGGTATGCAAAGATAAAGCCTGGGGAATTTTGAACCTTCTCTGCTGCTTTGTAATATATTTTTTTCTGTTAATTTGGCTGAGGATCAGAGTTTTGGGAGTCCTGTAGCAGAGGATCCATAAGCAGCTTCCTTGAATCCACAGGGAGTGAGCTGCATCCCTTGTACCCAGGGGCTCCAAAGATTGCCTGTTTTCACTTGAGGTTGCCTGGGGATCACTTAAGTCATCTTAGGCTCTCCCTCAAGAGACTGTGTGTTTGAGCCAGGGGGGCTGAACTGATGCAGCTTCTTGCCCTTTGTCTCCTCTTTAGATGAGTCTGAGGATGCTCTTATGGTGGATTGGTTCAAACTGATCCATGAGAAACAGCTGCTGCTCAGACAGGAATCAGAGCTGATGTACAAGTGAGTACAACCAGAAATTCTCCTGTCTACTTGTGCACTTCCTGTGAGCAGTGAAGGACAGGGAGTGTGACAGCCCAAAAAACTCGTGTGCCAGTTGGGGGGATGAGAAGGGTTGAGGGTGTCTCTGGGAGAACTGCCAGCATCATGATGTATTAGCTGGTGGGCTTTGAGCACCCAGGGTCTGTGAAGAACTCATGAGGAGGGAAACTTCAGAAATGTGATGGAGGAAGATTTCCCCTGAGCCACCAGCCCCTGCCCAGGTGGTGGGCAACACAGAGATGAGGCTTTAGCATGACAGGAGAAGGATCCAAGCCTGGGGCATGGCAGGGCAGTAACTCATCACTTGTGTCATTCCTTCCAGGATGAAACAGCAGAACCTGGAGGAGCAGCAGTGGAATATTGAGATGAAGCTGCGAAGCCTCATGAACAAACCAGGTTTGTAAGAACAAACAAAACAAAACTGGCCACACTGGGAGTCCTGCTGGCCCCAGGAGCCTCCCCTTTGTGTGCCAGCCCTGGGATGTCCTGCAGATCTGATGGCGCTGCAGGGATTGCAGGTGCACTCTGGGTGTCCCCTGGCAGGGGCAGACTCCCTGTGACATCCAGCCCACCTCTGCTTTGAGGGGGCATGCAGGACATGCCCTGAGTGTGAGGATTGCAAAATCAGCCCTGTGGGCTAATTTTAGGGGAGGTACTGCCTGTAGCTGTGAGATGGCTTCCCTTGTCTTGTGCAGAGGAACTGAAGACTGCCAGGGAGAAGGAGCAAGAGAAGGAGCTGCTGGAGTCGTACCTGAACACGGTCAATGACCGGAATAACATTGTGGATTGCCTGGGTGAGGACAGGCTCAGGTGAGGGTGCTCAGATGGTGGGAACTGAGCCAGCACTACTGTATTTCCACTGCTGTAGGGGTGGATGAGTGGCTGTAGTCCAGACTTCTGCTCCCTGAGAGGTGGGTGGTCACCTGTCATCAGCCATCTTGTCCTAAATGCTGCTGTCTTTGCATCCTTGGCAGCTGTTGGGAAGAGATCAGGACCTGTTGTCTCTCAAGCTAAAGCTGCTGTGAGAACAGGGCTGTGGAGATGTGGAATGCAGGGGAGGAGAGGAAGAGGCTGGAGATGGGGAGGCTGGAGGCAGTATGGGAGATGCAGGAGGAATCTGGGAACATGAAGTCAGGAATGTGCTCGTCTGCTGCAGCAAGTAGAAGAACAGCTGTAGCCAAGAACTGGATCTTTTCCAAGTTGAATGGAAAACTGCTGTGTCAAGTAGCTGGATTTGTGCCTCCTGATGCTGAGAACAGCCTCCATTTCTTGACCTCAGAGCACCAGGTCCTGCTTGTGGATTCTGGTACTGCCCAGGACAAGGTGGTGACAGCAGTGTGCTTGTCCCTGGTGGCAGTGAGCACAGTGAGCACCTCTGTAGCACCCCGGGCTACTGTGTCTCAGCTTCATTCATCTCCTGGGGTGTGCTGGTGTCTCACCACTCCATGAACTCGGATGATTGATCAGCCAGCTGGGAGGAGGTCTGGAAATCCCCACACAGGCCTTTGCTTTCAAGGGACCCAGATGGAATTTGCTGATGTCTAAGACTCTGACTGTTGGGTTTTTTCCTGCAGCCTTTCTCAGGGTATGCTGTGAAGGTTGGTCATTTCTTACTGGGGAATAAGAGCAGTATTTGCATGGGCTTTGGTATTTACCAGCTTGTCATGAGCACAGCAAAGTTTTCTAATGCCATGCTGTTCCATTACAGAGAGAAAGAAGAAGACCAGATGTTGGCAGACATGATACAGAGGTTGGGTAAGGGCCCTTTCTCCTCTTCCAGAGCAGCACTGGGGCTCACCGGGGCTGTGGGTCTCAACCTGCTCTGTGTCTGCTCCCTCTCCTGCAGATGGATCTCTTGAGAGCCAGGAGCCAGAGAGGAAGAAGAACAAGTTCCGCTTGTCCAAAATATGGAAGCAGAAAAAGCAAGAGTAAAGCTCAGGAGCTTGATGTTCCTTTTCCCAGTGGTCCAGAGAGACCCATCAAAGGTGTGGTCCTTCCTCAGTGCTGCTTTCTTGGAGCTGTGCAGGACTGTGAGAGGCCCCAAGAGGCCTATCAAAGGTGTGGTCCTTCCTGAGTGCTGCTTTCCTGGAGCCTCTGGACTGTGAGAGGCTCCTGTGCTCCCTGATGTGGAGACTGCAGGTTTGCTGAGCAAAGGGACAGTGTGAATCCCCTCTGGCCCTGGTATGGGGCCCAGGGATACCTTTCCCAGCACATGGACTTTAAGACTGTTTTCCTTCTTTGCCTCTGGGTCAGAGCTGGGTCAGCCTTGTTGGAGCTCGGGAGGGCAGAGCTCAGGTCAGTGCAGTCCTGCAAGCAGGAGCTGGCCCTGCATGGTGTCCCCTACCTGTCCCAGGGCTGCACCCAGGACACTGCTCTGGGCTGTGGAAGGGCTGTTGTCCCTCCCTTCCTCCCTCTCTGCTTGTGCTGTGGCTCTTTGGCCAGGATCAGAGATGCAGAGAGGGAGATGCTACAGGGCAAGAGGGATTGATGGTTTCTCTCTTACCACACCAGTGCAAACTGGAGGCTCCATGTCTGGGGGGAGCAGAGAGCAGAACCTCCTCTCTGTCTGGAGGGATCATCTTGGGATGTTCTCGACCCACAGCAGTTTCAGCAATAGTGATTTGTTTCCAGACCTCTTTTGGAAGTTGCTGTAGGCTGATTTCTCAAAGCCATGAGAGGCTGCTCACTGCTTCATTCCCTCTGTGGGGGAGATTTGTAGCCTCCTTATTTCTCTGACTGCTCAGTGAAGCAGTGTTTTTGTTGTCTGTGGCCTATCCTGATGAAAATGAACCGAACTATTATTTTAATAACCTGGTGCTAACTGGGAGCACAAGGGAATTCATGGGTTTGCCTCACCCCTGAGTTTTCTGCATGGGACCAATATTTCAGTTCCTCAGCTCCATCCCTGGACAGCCAGTGCCCTCAAGGGATGTTGTGGGTCACCCTGGTGATAGCAGGAATTCAGAAGCTGGTTCTGGGCTGTTGCAGGGAGCCTTTCCACTCTTCCTCAGTGCAGCCAGACCCTGCCCTGGCTGCACCCTCTGTTCCCAGTCAGCCTGGGGAGCAGGGATGGAGACAGCCGCGGAAAGATCCGATTAATTCATGGTGCCTGTGGTCTGTGTGGACCTCCTCCCTCCACGCCAGCTCCTCGAGGTTTCTCGGGGTGCTGCTCCCAGCAGGAGCAGGGATTCTGCCGGAGGAGCTTTGCTGTGCGGCAGAGCAGAGGCGTTGCGTCCCTTTCCCACGAGGTGGCACTGGGACTCTCCGGGCAGGGATGTGCTGGGGTGGGACCAGTGCCCGAGGGGCTTCCTGGAGCCCACAGCGGGACCGTGTATGTGCAAGTGCTGGGATAGCCCGAACCTGCATATGCTTTCGCCCAATAAAGAATTACTGCAGCAATTCTCAGCATCCAGTGTGGTTTGGGGACACTGTGGTATATGGCTGTCCTGGGAGCACTGACAGTCCCTCTCTGGAGCTTGGTGTACCTGTGATGGAGCAATCCCTGCCCACAGCCTGCAGGGCTGCACGTCCTGAGGGAGCAGTGGCACCAAGGGCTTTTTCACCCACTTTGTTTAGGTGTCAAACTCACCCCTGCTCTCAGGTAAACGCAATTCCCCCCTTGCTGCTTTAGCATCACACACATCCCAAAGCCTGTGGGGTCCCAGCCTGGCCAGCAGATGTGGGAGAGGAAGAGGCAGAGCTTGTTATGCACAGCTGGACCGTGGCATTGGTGACACGGGTGGCAGAACCGCGGTGTCACCAGTGGAAGCTGACGGAGGCTCTGCCACCACACTGCCCCTGAGGGCCTGTGCTCACCCAGGGGGAAGACAGACTGCTCTGTGGGGACATGCTGACCACAGGGCTGGCGTGCTGTGCCTTGCCATCCTGGTCTGCTTGTCAGGGAGCTCTTTCTTCCCTGGGGCTGTGTGTAAACATGAGGGGAGGGAGGAGGGCTCTTCCTCCAGACCTGGGCAAATCCCCAGAACTAAACCTGCCTTTGTGGGCTGCCAGCTGAGAGGAAGGGAGCTGAAACCAACTCTGCTGAAGGAGAGAAATACCTTTCCTGATGAGCTGTCCCAGGCTGTCATTATTGCTGGGCTTTCATCTTTTCAGGCTCTGATTCTCCAGCCTCAAGAAGTTTAGTCTGCATGGATTTGGAGGATGGTGGCAGCACCATCCAAACTCATCCAATCCTTCCCTCTCCAGCCTTCACCCACCTTGAAAACGGGCAGGAAATGGACCTCTGCAGGAATGTGATAACAAAGTGCTTAAACAACACCCCCAGGGCCCTGTGGTGGCAGTGGCTGGGCCTGCTGTAGGGTTTGCTTTTGTGAGAAGGCCAGGCTGTTGCCAGACGGGTACACCTGCTAGCTACCTGCTCCAAGAACAGGTTTTGAAGAGAAAACTGCTCCTTCTCCCATCTGGAGTCTGTTTGAGATGGTAGCCATGGTCTAAGGGATATGAGGTTCACCTGGAAATGCTGTGTGGGGTTAGGTTTAAGTGGTCTCTAAGTAGGAAAATACTGAGAGGGAGGGGAGGCAGAACCCAGCCTGCCTCACCATGCTGCTGGTGTGAGGCTGAATGCAAGACTAACCTCAGTTATTTCTACACCAAAGATGGGAGGGTAAATAGTGGAGCAGTGATCCAAACACATCCTGCTCAGAGTCCAGACTCTTGTCTGTATGGATGGAATGCTGTCTGGCTGTGGCCAGGGTGTACCAAAACCAAGCTCTGTACAGCCTGTCCCACAGCTCCTGCACACCCTGACTAATGCTGATGGTGACCATGAGAACTGGTTCCTCCTTCCTCTGCCTTGAATTTGGGACTCATAGGATTTGCACTTCCATCATTCTCCTAATCCAATGCTTTAAACGAGCCCTAGAAGAACTAAGCTGTTGGCTAAGGTGGAGAAAAGGAATGGCTTTTCTCCAGCTGGCTGCTTTTAGCTGAGCTGATTCCCCTGCCTGACCCCTGTTTGCTCTCCTGGCACAAGCAGCTTTGCTCACCCCGTGGAAGTGCTCCAGAAGGCAAAGCAAGAGGATTTGGCCTTGGGACTGAGCAGCAAGGGAGGTGTTGGGAAGCTCTCGACTGCCTCTCCACAGTGGTCACTCCTGAGTAATTAGGCAATCCAGGCACCCTCCTATAACTGAGTGGGAATCAAATTCCTCTTCCTTCTCCATGAGAAAGGGCTGTTTGTGCTCTGCTCCAGCCCCACCAGCCGCCGAGCCCCGAGGTCAGGCTGGCAGGGGGTTGACAGATACATTGCTGTGTGCATGTGGGTGTCTGCATTTCGGTGATGACTGAGGCCTTAATTACTCTTCTAGGTCAGCTGCTCCACTTCCAAAATGGTTTTGAGGGGGCTGAGCTTCCTGCTCATTTCCTGATGGCCTCCAGTCGGGTTCGTTGCCTCACCAGCTCCTGGATACCTGGAGTGCTGCTGCTGCTGCTTTCTTTGTAGCTGAAGAGAAGTGTGGGGGCTGCACAGGGCCTGGGGGCTGCACCCTGAGCCTCTGCCATTTCGGAGGCTCTTGGGGATCCTTCTGCAGGTTTGGGGTGCTGTGGGCTCTGTCACTTCCAGACTTGCAGATGAAGCTGTGATTAGGCTCTCTGTGTGTGTGTGTGTGTGTGTGTGTGTGTGTGTGTCTCTCTCTCTTCTGCTGTTTTCTTTAATTACAATCTCCGAGGTAATTTCTGACGCATCATTAACAGTTCTGAGTAAACAAGGGGAATTCTCCAAATTATTTGCCATGAGCACAAAGGGAAATCGACTTTCATAGTCTCCCTCTTCATCCAAGTAAGAAGCTGATCTGCAGTGAGCATGGGGATGCTGTGGCTGCCCTCTGATGCTTTGAGTCTCTTTGAGACAGAGCAGCAACACATCCAGCTTTTCCAGCTGACTGAGGCCAATTCTGCCCACAGCTTTTTGTCCCCACTGCTGAGCAAAGTGGCTGGGACTTGTCACCATTGCAAAGTGCAAAGTGCTTCTTGCCCTGAGAGCTTTGGGTGCTGCCTTTGAGTGCTCACCTCTTGTTTCCAGCTGGATGAGTCGGAACAGGGGTTGCTCAGGAGATGGGGCAGTCCAAAAACATCCTCAAGACTGTCTCAGCTTGGAAGGTAACACCCTGGTCATGGCTGTTGGGTTGAAGGGTAATACCTGAGACCAGCATGGATTTAATGAGGGAAAGAAAGAAGGAGTACTGATATGGAGAGAGTGCAGGGTTGGGGAGGGAAGGAAGGAACATTGACACAGAAGAACTTGGAGCCCAGAAAATGAAGTCTGGTCCAAAGCAAGAACTCACAGGGATGCTGGTGTGCCCTGTGAGAGCCACAAACACACCTGGCAGTGGGAGGAGGTGGCTGGAGAGGACAGGATGGGAGAGCATTCTAACCCAGCACAGGGCTCAGGGGAAAGGGGCCTCATCAGAGGGGTGGCACATGGAGCAGGCAGTGCCTCTGTTGGAGCATCCCTACCCCTGCCCTGCTCTGACAGCCCCTTCCTTCACCCAGGCTCCAGCACAGGCAAAGCATCTGCAGCAGCAGCCGGGGGAGCGGAGATTATTTATATTCATGCTGCAGCTCTGCCAGCCGTGCCTCTGTTATCTGCCATGCATGAATATTGTTTGAATACGGAGTTTGTCGTGACTATTCTTCCGCGTGAAACGAGGGATTTGCTGTGGGATGGGAGCCCTCCCTCTGGCTGTCAGTCAGGAGGGGTTTCCTTTTCCTGTCTCGTTGGAAGCCGCGTCCCCAGCAAGGTGAGACAGTGGACACTTTTTCTCTTGTTAATATCCATGTCTAATCTCCTCTCAGAGGGGCCCTTTGTCCTAGACTGTAGCCAAGATGAGTAATTCAGGGATAGATGAGACGCTATAATTGGTTTGTGACAAATTAAAACATTTTTCCTTCGGAGCTGAGAGCAGGACTGTGGTCTGGAGCTGTCAAGCGTCACAGGGGAGGGTGATTTTCGGAGTAAGCGCATTGCAAATTGGCTCCAGATATGCCTTGGAGTCTGAAATTAAACTCCAGCTGGTGACTCTTCTCAGTTGGGGTTTTATTTTAGGGGAGACAAAGGGAGCATGTGTGTGGAGGGACAGCCTGATCGATACAGAGAATGTGACTGCTCTTTACATCATGCCATGAGCTGGGAACCAAACTGGGCCATGCTGGGGATGCTGGGAAGCACCCAGAGCTGTGGTGGGACTGAGCAGGGCAAGCACCAGGGCTCACCACTGCCTGTGTTTCCTTCACACTTCTCTCAGTGGTTCCTCCATCACGTCCCAGAAAGGAAGAACCATGACGGAAAGCTGCAGATCATACCATCTCCTCTCTCATGGTCACAAGTGGCTGCCAGCTGCAGAACCTCTTCAGGAGACACAGGCTGGTCCTTGCCCTCTAATAATTCTTTTACTGAGCCAAAAAGAGTCCCTTACCTCCACCCAGAGATCAGGGGACTAGCTAAAATTCAGGAACATAGAGATCATCAGGACAGACAGCTTGATGACACACTTGGTTTGACCCTAATGTGTTTAGGAGCTGGTCTAGGGCAAAGGGGTGGAGGTGGGAGGAAGAGGAGCTCCTGATGCTCAGCACAGCTGCACAGAGAGAGCTACAGCAGCAGCATCTCCACCTTGCAGTGAAGATGGGTGGAGAATGAAGGAATGCTTGGAAAGGACGTGGGCCTGTAAAGGAGGTGTAAAAGGCACAAGAGGAATCAGCATGTGGGCTGGTTTGTGTGTAGATGGTGGTGGGGAAGAAAGCCTTGAGATCTTGTATCTGATACAGAAGAAAAGGGAGGCCCAAGGAAAGGGTGCTGTGAGTTTGCAGGAAGGCTGTGTCTCAAAATGAACCAAACAGTCTGGAAGAGATAGTCCTAGCTGTGAAAACAGGGTAAGTGCACAGGCTGTCAGTGGGTTGGAAGAGTTCAGACCCTGGAGGTGCTGGGTGAAGAAAGGAGGAGATCTGGGCATCTCTTAGATATGAGGAGTAAAACGAGCAGGCCACGGTGGCAGGGTGATGGGTACGGGAGTTGGGGGGCTTGGAAGGAAAGATCAGAGGATCTGGTTTAGCAATGGAAAGTGCATAGATGCAGCAAATCCTGAAAGGCAGCATCAGATGGTGAGCTGTGACTGGTGTCACTGGCATTAAGATGTTAGCTAATCCGGTTTAAGGGGATAAGCCCAAGAAAAACTGTGAAGACCTAAATTGGAGCTTGTCACTCTCCTGTGGAAAGCAGAAGTGTGGAGGAGGAGGAGGAGGATTTGCTGAAAGAGGCCCCTGGATTGTTGGTCAGAAACAGAGTGAGTGGAGGATGGCTGTGAAGATGAAGGGTCAAGAAGTATCAGGTGGGAATGAAACAGGAAGGACAGGAGTCACCAAAAGTAAAGAAACCCAGGAGCCTTGTGGTGTGCACCGTGTC